TAACAGCTAATTCACCCTTATTTTCTACAAAGCACTGAAAATAAATCCCTCTACACGCAACTTGAAATGAAATATCACATAAACAAAATGAGAAGACCAAAAACCTATTTTTACTACACATCTTTACAAGCTAAGAATGTCTTCTTTATGCCAGAATGGGTATAGCGTATGAACACAGGGACAGGCCCCACAGCTCGCAATACCTAAGAATTCATGTTCTCTTATCAGGCATATCGTTCGGAAGCTGTGTAAATGCCGACGCAGTGTCAAAATGGGCCAAACAGCTATTCATCAACTGGGCATTTCACCGGGCTGAAACGCATCGATGTCCCCTGATTTTGCATATTATAATGCATTCAATAGGAACAATGAACATGCGATGACTCTCATTCATTTTGCGCAATAAAAAGCATAGGTTCTCAAGTCAAAGTGAAGGAAAAGACCGATCAAAATGACTCGTATAATACAGACTTTGTTTAAATACTCTACACTTTTAGGGGCTGGTACTGTTATGGTGTCCTCTATTTTTGAATATTTTCATACCGGTTCTGTCACATTGCATTCAGTTAGCGATCATACATGCAATAAAAACAGTGGGTTCTCGAGAGTAAAGTTACGGAATAGAGTGAATGCTGATACGATGTTCAGCATGTTGGAGCGCAGATAGATCGAGTAGGACTTTCATCGGGCTGTGGCACATCGATGTCCTCTGATTTTGAATATTTTCACGCATTCTATAAGAAAATACGATTATTTTCTTTCATTAAATGCAATAAAAAACATGGGTTCTCGAGTCTAAGTCATTCATAGGACCGATCAAAATGGGTCATGTTTTAGAGACGTTGTCAAAATACCCTACACTTTTTAGGAGCCGGTGGTCTTATGATGTCCTCTGTTTTTGAATATTTTCATACCGGTTCTGTCAAATTGCATTCAGTTAGCGATCATACATGCAATAAAAACAGTGGGTTCTCGAGAGTAAAGTTACGGAATAGAGTGAATGCTGATACGATGTTCAGCATGTTGGAGCGCAGATAGATCGAGTAGGACTTTCATCGGGCTGTGGCACTTCGATGTCCTCTGATTTGGAATATTTTCTCGCATTTTATAAGAAAATACGATTATTTTCTTTCATTAAATGCAATAAAAAACATGGGTTCTCGAGTCTAAGTCATTCATAGGACCGATCAAAATGGGTTATGTTTTAGAGACGTTGTCAAAATACCCTACACTTTTTAGGAGCCGGTGGTGTTATGATGTCCTCTGATTTTGAATATTTTCATACCGGTTCTGTCACAATGCATTCAGTAAGCGACCATACATGCAATAAAAACAGTGGGTTCTCGAGAGTAACGTTACGGAATAAGAGTGAATGCTGATACGATGTTCAGCATGTTAGAGCGCAGTTAGATCGAGTAGGACTTTCATCGGGCTGTGGCACATCGATGTCCTCTGATTTTGTGTGTACAAAGGCATTCTGTAAGAGACTGGGATCATTTACCTTCATTTAGTGGAATAAAAAACGTGGGTTTTCATGTCTAAGTCAATTAAAAAATCCATCATGACGGGGCATGGAAGACGATGATGTAGGCTGAGGATAACGTTCAATGATTTAGGGAGTGACGTTTTATGACGTTTTATTACGTCATACTGCAGCGTGAGTAGCTACATAGCCCACTTCCAGCTGAAGAAAAGTTGTTACATGAGTTTGCATTATATATTGGTGAAGTGTCTTCACTTGTTATTTATTACACTATGCCCATACTTATCGTATGATAAAGAACGTCAGTGTTAGAAAGTTAATTAATAATTTTATTTAGGATAGTTTCCCAGCTAACAATTTGCCGTTGTTACAACGTCGTTTAAACGTTGTCAAATGGTTACCACAACGTCCCGATTTATCGTTGTGACAACGTAATTTTGTAGACTCCAGACAACGGCGTGAGAACGTCATCCGACCATGCATTTGAATGTCATCGCAACGTTTCTGTAACGTGGCCGTGACGTCCCAAAACTGTTCTTACAACGTCCCGCCAACGTTATGAAATGTTTTCTGTAACGTACCAACAGTGTTTCTGGAACGTTGTCACCATGTTTCCGCAACGTGACTACAAGGAGTATAGAACGCTTTGGCAACGTCTCTGCGACGTTTTTATCACGTGCGCACCACGTTGTCGCTACTTCGTATTGCCGTCCCTGCGACCCTGAGTTGACGTCCTAAACATTTTCGCAACGCCCTCTCAACGTGTTCGCAACATACTCAGAATGTGTTTCCGACGCTCTCTTCCCGTTCTCTAGACTTGTAAAAAAAGGCATGTAAGAAGTGTATATTTCAATACATCATACAGGTCAATTTACAACAACAAAAAAAAAAAAAACGACGGCGGCGGCATCGGTGATGGGGCATGGGGCCCAGGGGCGCCCCCATGGGGGCGTGGGACGGAATTGGGTTCTATCGGCTCTGGCGCTAGCCGCTAGCACGCCAGAACTGGTGGAAGTTCACTTCTTCACTAACCCTCGCTGGGAGGATCACTCGGCGGACCGTTAGGCACCGGCTCATTTGCGGCCTCGATGTCCCTAGGCAGCTGGCAGTGCCTGACTAGACGGTCTGCGCACCCCCCGTTCCGGTCGCAGCTTCCGGACAGCCACTTCGCTACCGCATTGCCGACAGTAGGCCTGCCACAAGGCGCGCTGACGAGTTGCAGGACGTCTGCGGGAAGACATGAGGGAAAATCAGACATTCAATTCATGAAAAAATCACAAAAATACCTGCACCACTTTCCGTAACAGTGCGACAGGCTAGATCAAACATGTCAACACCTTAGCGGCTAGAGCTACAATGAACTATAGCCTAGACCGCACAATATTACAAGGCACAATCTTGCAAATGCTACTCGTAAATGGTACTTTGACTTACCAGTCAAAGCAACAATCGCATCAAGCGCAGACAACTGGCGCTATCTTCCATCTTCCTTCCAGCTATCTCAGTCGCGCCCGCCGCCGGCCCTCACTGCTCGCTCGCGCCGCGTAGACTGCGGCTCGGCCGGCTGGCTCTGAACGCCGGCCGGTGACTGACGTCACGGCCCCTCAGGCGAGGTCAGGGCGCGAGCCACCGTTCGCCTGAGTGGCGGCCCGCGTGGCTTGCTGGCAGCCGCGGATAACAGCCGCGTTTACAGAGGGATAGTTGCAAGCCTCTAGCTCCGCCTGTAATGTTGCAAAACATGCCAATGACGCTTTGCAATTTACACATGTTATATATATATATATATATATATATATATATATATATATATATATATATATATATATATATATATATATATATATATATATATATATATATATATATATATATATATATATATATATATATATATATATATATATATATATATATATATATTAGAGAGAGATAGAGAAAGGTATCAGAATTTACTTGTAAAAACACCGCTAATTATTCAGTGCCTATAATGTCAAGGCTGTGAAAAACCGTTTTAACAACGTGTTGGCGACCACCAGCTGACAACGTGAACAGTCCAAGTGTTAAAATATGTCAAATTTAACGATGAAAACTGAATATTCGCATTGAAATTTGAAAGTCAAAGGAAATGCATTATATGGCCATATATGTCACCATGCATTATCAAAATATAATGCTGCAAGTGCGCGGTTGCTGCAACGTACCAATAAAACGTTGTCACGACGTTTTACCACGACTTTCGGACCAAACCATGGCTTCACAACGTTCAGAACGTTGCTACAACGTAATTAAAACGTAATTTCGCAACTTACCGAAACACGACGTTGTGACAACGTTGTGGAAACGTTTCCTGTTAGCTGGGTTAATTCAAGTGGGTATAATCCGACTTGACAATTTACTAGGAGGGTTTTGCAGCGCTATTAGTTCGGCATTTAATTATAAATCATTGCTAATTTCGATCCGGATATCGTTATTCAATGCTGGCCTTTGCATCCTCAGAAAAGTTGTTTATAGTCATGAAGGCTTGCATTGACCCATACTTTCCATTTTTCAGCACCATTATTCGCCGTAGTTCACCAGATGTTTTTCTTCAGCTCTCCCCTGAAGGCCTGAATCCTTTGGCTTAGACCTGGCGTATCACCCGTGCATCGCAAGACGCACCTACCACACAAAAGTTCATGATCCCCACGAACCCACATCAGCGTCCGTTCGCTTGGTGTGTGACCCCTTGACCTTTGGCCGCGACAACTGCCAGCTTGCCGGAGCACCCCTCCCTACACGCGCTGCCCCGCCCGCTCCCCTCCATCCCCCCCCCCCCGGGGTCGTGTCACGAAGGTTCGGGCTTACGCTACTACCGGCCGCTGCGCAGCTGTCACCTAGCGCTTGGGAATGTGTGGTCTGGTGCGGATTCAGCCAACTACCGGCTCGCGACACCAGCGCCACGTAGTGGCGACGGTACATTCTTTTTAGACACACTGTACATTTGCTATGCCTACGTACTTTTGTCCGTACGTACTTTATACCCTACATACATTAGCTATACGTACTTTTGTCCTACGTACATTTGCTGACGTAGATTTGACATACGAACATTAGCGATACGAACTTTGGTCCGTAACCCTCGCTCCACGCACCATGCTGGGGAGTAAACTGATGAAAGCGTCATCTATAACCATACAGCTTTCTAAAATCTCCACTAGGTGTCCTCACATCCTCGTGAAACTATGCGTGAAACAGTCAAATTTCTCCACTTGCTAGAAAGCAACTCGAAGCTATGTCCGATTCGGGCGCCTTTTGTTGTAATAAACATTCCCGCAATGAAATAGAATTTTGTGCGTTCATATTATAAGCTTTAAAAACCGTATATCATTGCTAAATCACTTTAATTCTTATTTTTCTATTTTGCGCTTTAAAATTTTTCACTTTATTTATGACGTCATTTGTCTCTACAAATATAAAATTATGCATGAGGCGAAAGTGTTGACATTTAGGACGCACCGCGTCCCTCGTCGGTGTTCTTGTGGTCGCCACACGCGCCGGGTTTTTATTGCTTTGACATTTTTGTGTGTATTTTTCCATCGGTGAATCGCGTTTTGTAAATTAGGTTACTTAGCCTTTCTAAGTTTGAGAAACATTTGCTCAAGAAAATGCATAAATGCAGTTATTCTGAGTTATAAGCAATGTTAACAGAGAGAAAGAGAGAGGGCGTTTCATTTTATCTACTTTTATTGCCGTTGACTTTTTCACAATTAAAACAAATGGTCGGTGCATTACTGATTCTTATACCTTTTATATTTGAATTAAACCAAAAGCAGGAATAAAAATATTAATTGTAAAACCAAGCCTTGGATCGAACGTCCCGATTTCTGATGCCCTGGAACCGCTCCTGTTAAAGTTATCAGCTCAAAAATTTAAGAGAATGTGCCCAGTTAAGTTTGAGGAAAAGCCAGAAAATTTCAGAATCATAGCTCCAGCTATTTCAGAGATATTACCAAAAACCTGAGGGGTCAGGGGTGGATGAAAATGCTCCCATGCCAATAATAGGGTAAACATGCGAGTAGTATTATGTGTGAAATTGATATAAGTATGACTGATATCAAGCATGACTGATCATTAGTGTTTGTATGTTCCCTGCTGACTTCACTTCACGCTGTTTGACCCATACCCACGGTAGGGTGGCACTAAAACGGGGCTAAAATTTCGTTTTGAGAATTTTCAACGGGACGGGCAGCCAATCTGTTCTACCACCCGAGAAAACGTTGTGTGTAAAATATTTTTGGAAAATATGTTTATTTAGAGGTACCTCAACCAGGTCAAAGTTCACATTTTCGTGAAAAACACAGCTTTACCGAAATTTTAATTTCCACATGTATTTCTTATGTTCACAATGACATTGGACGTTGCCAAGACTTTATCGAAACGTTTCAGCACCTCAATCTCAGATATACAGGTACATATGAGGTACATAATTCTTTTGAAGGTATGCATAACTTACTGCATAACTCAATGAAAAGAGAAAGCGGTATCATCCGTAATCAGCCAACTCTTGTACACATTATTCGTCGGCTAGTCTTGCTTACTTAGAAATTACGATCGTCTTGCGTATGTCAGAATGCTTGCTTCTTTGCTCCTCGACGACCTACATGTTAGCTGTTAGTCTTTATCCTTCGTGGGGGTCAGATCGATTTCCTGGCCACAACAAAATGCCTCGTTCCGCGAAGTCATTGAGGCGTGAAGAGACCTCATGTAGCGCATGGCGGCGTTGTAGAATGGTTGACCTCCCAAAGAATCGAATCTTTCAAGAGGAAATCGGTGTCCATACCGAGGATGCTGAAGAAGCTTGTGAAGCCAGTTGTGATATGACGAAGTCTTCCGTGGACTTGCTAGACACTGAAGCTATAGTAGAGGTGTACCACCGAGGACAGTGATGGCCAGCTCCAGCATCTCACGGTTGTCGCGTGAATGCTGGCGGTCAAGGATATACGACCGAACTGTGCAAGAGCATCACGCGGGTTGTGGAGGTGGGACATGTCACAGTTTTTGAAGGTTTATGGCTTCGTTGCATCTAGACGCCCACTTTTTATGGAAACGCTTAAACAAAACAACGTCCGGGCCGCTGGACGAGCCGAGGCAGGCTGAAAGTGCCTTTGAACAAACTCGTAAATGTCGTGGCAAGTCAGATGGAGCAAGCCCTGCTCGAGCCGCTGCTCGATGATCGTGCAGGCTCCTGCATTGAGGCTGGTGTTCGATGCACTTGTGTCAAAACTGAACGCTTTCACTCAATCCTTCAACTCTCACTCATCGAGGGATTCTAGAACAGCGTTTGTTGCGTCCTGGCAATTTGAGCCTGGCTAGCGAAAAATGTTCTGAAATGGCTTAGCAAAACACAGCTTATCTTTTTCACGTGCACGTCCTCTCCCTGACATCACGAAGACACGGAGACCTGCCCTGTGGCTGTACACTGGCAGTGTCCCCCTGCGCATCAGTAACCGGGAATACATGAGCAGAGTAAATGCGTATTACAAACGGATCACAATACTCAGCGAAGAGAAAACATTCTTGATACGCATTTATTTGCTCATGTAACCCCGGTAAGTGCTAGCAGTCTCGTGACCCTTCCCAACCATCGTACTACGGAGAAGAGCTGAAGTTACGCGCCTGGCAGCGGGCTACCGTCACCGAACAAAATAAGCTAAACTACGCTGAACGGTCATTGGTTGAATCACGCATTGCGTCATAGCGCGTTTGCGGCGAGACACACTGTGGTTATGAAACAAATAGGAAGGCATCAATCATTCATGTAAACGTGTTACAGCTCAAATATGACAATGCTTGGAAAGGCGCGACACACATCTGAATCCCCGTTCACAATATACGTTTTGTCAATATGTGCCAAGTATGACCCCATTGAGCTACCTCTAAATATAAATATTTTTTGATAAAATTTCATACAGATCATTTTTTCGTGAGGTAGAACAATATGGCAACCCGTCCCGGTCGAAATTAAAAAAGTCGAAATTAAGTGCCACCCTAACCCACGGTCAATAAATGAATGAATGAATGAATGAATGAATGTTGAATGATTGAATGAATGATGATGGTCATGTTGTCTTCTCATCAGATTGAGGCTGCACCCTGCTGAGGGCTGTCAACCAGCCATGGCGGGTGAGCTCAACATGTTTGTGACCTCGGTCACCAGCTCAGGACCCCACATCAAGTTCTATGCCCAACTGCACACTGAAAAGTATGCTGCTCTGGATGCCGTGATCAATGCCAACCAAAACCAGTTTGACATGGTAAGTCTGAATGGTTTTTAATCAGCCATGGATGGCATTCTACCTTTGCTCTGGCCTCTGGGCTCCCCCAGCGAATTATCTTTGCTTTATAATGGTGAGGCTACAAATCTAACCTGATCCCAGGCCACAGGTATAAATTGTTGGCACTGACACCCTCACATAATGCACCAAGTTTCAAGCTCCTAAGAGATAAGAATAGGAATGTCTGGATCATAAGTTTTTTTTTGCATGAATCATGATTGAGTAACTTGACCTATTGACCTGACTTAACCTTGGGTCTATTTTTGTTTACATAACTGCAAAATTGATGTATGGTAAGCTATGCTAAGCTTCGCAAGTCCACAATACTACATGTTTTAGTTTTCTCATTAAAAAACTAATGGTCACACGTCCCCCCCCCCCCCCCCCCCGGAGGAGGCCAAAGGATCTGTTCTGACCTGTTGCGCCCCACACAGAGCACTCTGAGCTCTCCGTACGAGCTGAAGCCCGGAGAACAGGTGCTGGTGAAGTCACTGAGCGGCGCCGCGGCCAAATGGCACCGGGCCCGCGTCAACAACATCCAGAGCATCGAGTACGGCACGGTGGCCATCCAGTTCATCGACTACGGCACCAACGAGGTGGTCCACCACTCACAGGTGAGGCTGGAGAGCAGCCTGCGCAGAGGGCTGTGCGGGGATAGTGTGGGGATCGAGCTCGGATATCGGTCCGAATTGGATGTGGCCAATATCCGTAGGTAGCTTATAAAATGTGGCGTGACAGCTGCTTGTAAAACGCGTGAGTTGAATTGCTGACTTTGAAGTGCTGATGCGTTAATATTGCAACATCCGCTGCATTCGCTGAAGCCTTACACTCTCGTCCTTCAATGTCTACCATGCCTTCGCTGACCTGAGTTTGCTCGATCCCATGCGGCAGATATGTACCAGTAAGAACCCGGTGGCTGCCTCGATCCTGGCGCAGCCGCCGCTGGCGGTCGAGTGTGTGCTGGCAGACGTGGTGCCCGCCCTGGCCTTGTGGTCGGACGCCGCCATCAGCTTCGCAGAGGTGAGCAGCGAATTACTGTGAGTGTGGTGAGTCAGGGGATGGATGGAGCTGTCCTGCCAGGGATGGTGAACTCGGTGATAAACGGACCGAAAGTCGGACTTCCGCTTTCCAAGATTGGTTAGCGAACGACGAAGTAGCTGTGTAACGTAAGATGCGAATGTGTTTTAATGGTGAAAACTTTTATTCATTTCTAAGTCTTTGTCCATGACGCCCTGCTGAGCTAGCTATGCATCCTAACCACTACTCTGTTCTGACTCTGTCCGTGTCTCTGTACGCCCATCAGTCGAAACTGCTGTTCCAAATGGTGCGCGGCCAGCTGGTGCGCCAGGACGGGCCCGAGGGGCCGCTGCACGTGCGTGTGTACACCTCGGACGGCGCGGCGCTGGCCTCCCAGCTGGTGGTCATCGGACTGGGCCGGCCGGCGCAGACGGGCGCCGTGCCGCCCGGATTTCAGGTTAGCACGGAAAATGGGTTAGCGGTATGTGTCAATGTGAGGTGTGATGTGACAGTTCATCATGGCTCACAGCTAAACCTTCTTACCGGCTTTATGCGGTGGATAATGTATTTTTCGTTGCGATATATATATGGGCGCAAAATGGTCTTAGAAGTCGGCGCGCCCTAAATCCCAATTAACAAACTCGTTGCTGTATATCGTATTGCTCGGCATCGAACGGGATATTCGTTTAATATGATTACAAGCACACGACTACCCAGGCTGTGTTCCTAACGATGACCCCTGGCCCCTGTGCGGCTCAGACGGGCGGGTACGGCGCCGCGGCCCACCCTCCGCCCTCGGCCACGCCGCCGCAGCAACCAGAGTTCGCCGTCCGAGTGAAGGAGATGACCACGGCGCCGGCACAGCCCGGCTCCGAGCTGCTGGTGACCGTGTGCCACTACAGTAACGGCCCGGCCAAATTCGCCATTCAGAACCACCAGCAGGGCTCCACGCTCACCCAGCTGATGGCCGATATTCAGGTGAGCAATGCGGGGAGAGAGAGAGAGAGAGAAAGAGAGAGAGAGAGAGAGAGAGAGAGAGAGAGAGAGAGAGAGAGAGAGAGAGAGAGGCGAGAGCGAAGGGGAGGTGAGAGGTCTTACGGAGGATATGATATATCTTACCACACATTCCTGCTGTGAAGGATAAGACCAATCCGGATAAGTGCATTTATACGATTGTACTCACGATTGTGTAAGAGGGCATTGTATGAACCCTTCATTGGGATCGACATTTATCGTGAGTGCGATCTTTGAGCGATGTCACTGTCATTCGAGAGTGGCGCTTCACCCTCCAGAGTGCTGCAAAGCGCCGACAAGGAGTTGACTTATCGGTGGGACCACCCCGGCCTATCAGCTACGAGTGTGGTTGTCTGACGCCTCAGTGCCACCCTCCTCTCTATCCTGTCCCCCAGACACACCCTGAGACCGTAGCCTCTAATCAATGTGTTGCATCGTTATCAATCACATCATGCCAGTACAGAACGTATTCCGTCAATACGGTATCCACTTTTCTACCACGGACGTCGTATCCACCACTTCAGCGGGCTGTCAGTTTATCGCTGTATTATTGCATTGCGGCGTCGCTATTGATAACCGTGATGTCATAGAGCCCGCTTGTCGTGATATTTATTCGTCGCAGCTCACGATGCCGTTGCTGCCATTCCATTATAATTGTACCCCCCCCCCCCCCCGTTTCAGGCGTACTGCCGCACCAGCCCTCCGGCGCCGGTGCCGCTCCTGGAGCCGGGCGCCGTCTGTCTGGGAGCCTCGGCCTCCCGAGACGGACAGTTCCTCCGCGGCGTCCTCACACAGGTGGACGGCGGACTGGTCAAGGTAGGAATTTGGGATCGGGTAGAATCACTGGATGCTTTATACACAATTTGGGTGTCTTAAGTATTCGTTTATTTGTTTATTGTAGTGAAAAGCAGACAACTGTTCGACATTGACCAGTAATGAGTCTGTAAGATGCGTAGCAAGGACCTTGGCGTAGCGCATGTCAATTTTGGAATTTTATTGAGAACGTTTTCTGAACAGTGAACCGTGCTATGTTTGTGCTGGCACTTACACTGCTCTCTACAATGTACACGTTGACTAGTTAGAGGAAAGCCTGTGCTCTTGTTGCTGGCTTATGTGTTATCATGTTGTTCGTGAGATATGCTATCACACGTCAATTGGCACAGCTGAATCGGAAATTGCTCGTTGATACCGCCGGGCCTGTCCCTGATACATCGTCCCCCTCCCTTTATGAATCTATCAATGCTTATGAATGTTTCCATACACAAGGAATTATAAAAACCCTCTCCCTTCATCTCCATTTTGCAGGTATACTGGGCCGATTTCGGTCACGATGAGACGAAGGCGGTGGGTGAGCTGCGTGCCATGCCTCGCCAGTTTGTCGGCCCGTGGATACAGGCGAGCCGCGTGTCGCTGGCCGGTCTGGAGGGGCTCAACGCTGCGCCGGCGGCCGCGCACGTGTTCCGGGAGCTGACGGACGGCAAACTGCTGACCTGCAAATATCGCGGCAAGGACCAGCCGGTGAGAAACAGGGGAGAGAGGAGGTGAGGAGAGAGTGACGGGGGATGAGGAGGGGATGTGCGCTTTAGAGGAAGAGGAAGGGGATGAGAAGTAGCGTGCGGTTCAGGCGTTGCAGCGTTGAGGTGATGGTGGTTTTTGACGGGAAAATGTGTGCAGGATGAGAGTCTGATAAGCGGTGAACTGCCACTAACCGCACGACCACGGCGAGGAAACGGGAGATGAATCGCGTCGTTTCAGACAACGCTTTGTAGAGGTTGGGTTTTCCTGTGAGATACTGACATTTAGAGTCAGTAAATGTACTGCATCGTCGTCATGTGGAAAATGATTCTAGCCATGCTCTATCCTATCAACTGTCACTGCTTTGACGTAATGGTGACGCTAATCCGAACTGTATAGGGCCATCCAGAAGGTTTCATATTAACACTCGCCACTTCCGTGTCATTTCAGAACCAAGTGGACCTGTTCGACCGAGACCAGAGTATCCTGGAGCTGCTGCTGCAGCGGGGCGCGTACTCGGCGGCCGGCGCGGCGCGCGGCGGTGCGCCCACCTCGGTACCGGTGGCGGCCGGCGCCGGGGCGCTGCGGTACCCGTCCCCGGCTGTCTCCCCCGCCGCCGCCGCCGCCGCCGCTCCGTCCGGGCCGCCCCTGGTGCCCGGCAGCGTCACTGAGGTGCTGGTCGTGGAGGTCGGAGCCGTTAACAACCTGTACGTGCGGCTGGCGGCGTCTGCCGGCCAGCTGCAGCAGCTGCTCTCCCAGCTGAGTGAGACGCTGTCGGTGAGCGGTCAGCAGCTGCCGGCATCCAACATCAGAGTGGGCAAACTCTGCGCCATACTGAAGGTAGGTGAATGGTGGGGGAAAGTGGGGGCGCTGTTGGACGTTGGTCGATCCTCATTAAATCGTTCTTATCGTCCTTTGATGATGTATCTTCGATATAAATCTTGAAGTACTTTGTGCACATGTGTCGACGTATATGCACCCGAGAGTATTCTCATAGATTAATCAAGGGAATGTGTGTGCTCGTTGAAAGGAGTTCTCATTTCTCAGTCCGTAGAAAATCATCATGTGTAGCGTTCCTCATGTGACGCCGTTTCCTGCTAATCCGCTCGCTCCCTGCTGATTCTCATACCGTCCCGCCACCAGGACGGGTCGTACCAGCGCGCCAAGGTGGTGAGCCTGGGTCGCCGGGACATCAAGGTGCAGTACATCGACATCGGCTCGTCGGAGCTGGTGCCGCTTCAGTCGGTACTGGCGCTGGAGCAGAGGTTCGCCACCCTGCCGCCCCAGGTCAGTACGGGACGCTTGGAGGCTCTGACGCGTCATGAGATGTCTTAAAGGCTGATTCCAGAATAAAGTCAGGAGATTGCGGTGGTCATGTTTCTCTCGGAACTTTGCAATGACGATATGGCAATATATCATTTTTAGCCCTTTTTGTTGAAGATTATTGTGAGTTTTTTTTTGGTAGGAAAATTAATTTGACGAAGACAATTTTGCCATGTTTTGTCCCCCCCCCCCTCCGCCGACCGCCGCCACCCCTCCCTCCACCGCAGGCGTTCCACTGCTGCCTGGAGGGTCTGGAGAGCACCCACGGCTCGGCCGAGCACGTGCGCTTCCTGCAGTCGGTGACGGCCGGCGGGCCGCTGCTCTGTACCGTCGTTCAGCAGACGGACCGGCGCGTCGTGCGTCTGACCGACCCCCGCCGACGGCCGCCGCTCGACATCAACGCGGCAGTGCGCGAGACGGTGGCGGCGGCGAGCCAGGAGCCCGTCCAGGGCCAGCTGATCCGCGGACCGCCGGCCGTGAGCGTGGCCAAACCGCCGGTGGGTGACGCGATATCGCGCAGAGATTACTCGGGTCTAGTTACACCGGCATTTATGTAGCATTCTGTGTTTGAAGATCTGTAGTTTTTCTTACCTGGGCTGTTTGGTTTGGTCCGTTATTTATTGATTTCGTCTTTATTTTCCATTCTGACACTGGCATATGACTAAATCTTGGATGAAGCGGGGTTTCGTGACAGACGTGGGACTTGTGATTACAAAAGATGCTTTTGACGATTTGTTATCACTGCTTTACCTTACTATCACTGAACTCAGGGGCAGCTTTGTTTGACTAGTGCTAAGCCCCATCACTCATCCCGACACTGATTGTGAAGATACTGATGGTTTTATGATATGAACGTGTTCTTTCATACAAGCAAGCAGTTAACCGATAATGGCATGGCCGGGGACGCATCTGAAATGTTAGTGATCATTCAACGCATCTCCCGACCGACCTGACGGAATTGCTGAGTGCGTACGTCCCTTTACAAGCATGCTGTGAATTTTTACCACGACACTTCTCTCCTAGTTAATGTGACTTCTTCCCGCTGGGCGCTGACCTTTGCGGCTCCCCTGTATCTCATCAGGTGGAGGTGGGCCGCGCGGAGCAGCTGGTCGTCATGCATGTCGAGTCGCCGTCCAGCTGGTTCGGTCAGCTGGCCAAGCTGGACGCCGACTCGCTGGCAGCCATGGAGGAGGCCATGCAGACCCGCTACTCGGCGGGCGGCAACCAGCCGCTGAGCAGCGCGCCCATTGGAACCTACTGCGCCGCCTTCTCCTCAGTGCACGAGGCAGTGTTCCGCGCCAAGGTGGGGAGCGAGGCCTGGGAAGGAACGGGGGAAGGATTGAAGGAAGGGCGTGGGAAGAAAGAGTTCGGAAATTTACATATTTTGCTGGTGATATGCAGTTGCACAGCGTAAATCAGACGCCTGTCTTAGAGGCTGCTTGCTTCTTTGAGGTCAAACAGCACGTCGTAGGAACACCGAGATTATGAGTTCTTTCCGTCTTATGCGCCGAGTTTTCCGATGCCGGAAGTGCTGGTATCGAGAGTGGCATTCCTTCTCTCGCACACGCCGATAACATAACACGGTAGGGAGGGCTGCGGGTCTGCTCGCATGTCTCCCGAAATAGCCTGATCGTTAGCGGAGGGACCGGCCAGGCCGCCCGACAGCTGCGTGGTGTCAGTATTGACAGCTGCGTGGTGTCAGTATTCGCGGCTGCCCCACAGTGTACTCTCGTCGCTCCGGTATAGCGGAGCCTCCTCAGGTACAGTTTCTCACTTCAGTACTGACTAGCTTACATCGGCTGTGTTTGGTCTCTTCGTTGAGTGATCGAGGTACTTCTGATTGATCTGTGTGCTTAACGCTCCAGTGTGTGTGTTTTCCAGGTAATCGGCCGTCAGGGTACCCAGGTGACTGTGTTTTTCATCGACTACGGCGATAGAGAGGAGACGAGCGTGTCCAACGTCTTCCCGCTGGCGGCAGAGTTCACACAGCTGCCGCAGCTCGGTAAGCGTGGTTTGAGCATAAGACCTACCCGGGGTACCTGTGACTCGTTATTTTCACCTGCCACGTCTTGGTGGTTGTATCACCCACATACACTTCAGTACTTCGTTGTCTAGCTGATGACATTGTCTTACGCAGCGTTCCAATAATTCCCAGGACCCAGGATGTATTTCGAGTTTGTCTTCCCTGTCTTTCACGCTGTCTTTTCACAGCTATAACTGGTTCCCTGTCATTCAGTCTGGATGCCCCCTTTTCCAGACCGCTGTGAAAGTATCCGTATTAATTGACCCCATTCTTCCTCCATCCCCCAGGCATCTCGTGCTACCTGCAGGGCGCCGGCGCCGTGTCTGCTGACGCGTTCCGCGCCGCCGTGCTGAATCAGACGGTAGACGTGGTGCTGCGCGCGTGCCGGCCCGGGACTGAGGTGTACGAGGTGGCGCTGGTCTCCTCCAGCCCCACCAACCGACCCATCATGGAGAAACTGGTGCCGGCCGGCCTCCGCGAGGTGCCCGGTGAGTTATGGGGTGTGTGGAGGATGGACGGGGAGCGAGGCTCACCGGGCGTATTCGATAACAGCAGCATCGTCCAAGGCAATGAAAAAGTGTGACAGTTAAAACAATCTTGCGATTCGTAGGTAGAGATAAAGGGTTTCTCACCTCCGATTCGGGCCTCTTGATAACTTTTTGTTGTAAAATCTGGTCGATTATTTAGAAGGATCACATCTCCATAAATATGATCTGTACGTCACTGGCTCGCCTCCCGCAGAGAGCGGCACGCCGCCGTCGTCCTCCCGTCCTGCGGGCGTCGGCTCGGTGTCCGGCCCGCCGCAGCTGCCGCAGCAGCAGCTGCCCGTCGGCGTCTACAAGGAGGTCGAGGTGGTACACGTCGTCACGCCGGCCGAGTTCTACGTCCAGATGAAGGAGCAGTTCCCCGCCGTGGACGCCATTCAGGAGCAGGTGGCGGCGTACGCGAGCCAGCCGCCGCCGACCGCGCCGCCGGCCGTCGGACAGACGGTGGCCGCTCTCTACCCGGACGACGGAGTGTGGTACCGCGGGCGGGTGCTGGAGGCCGCCGCCGGGAAGGTGAGGAGGGAGGACGGGACTTGGGGGAGTAGGGTTGAAACTTGAATAGAGTTGATAGAATAAATGATTGACTTCCTTTGACTAGATGGATTGGTGAAGTGGACTGACGACATCAAGCTATAAACTCGCGGTGATAGGTCTCTGAGCGTAAATATATAGGGTATCGTGGTCTAGGGCGGGCTGAATTGCTACATGGTCGTAAGATTTTCTGTTCTTCCTAACGTGTGCTGTCATGGTATCTAGTCAACCCTTCTATCCTTTTATTCCAACCTAGACACTGTCTCAGGACTCACCACTAACTTCCCCATCTCACCGCCCTTTTGTTCACTTCAGGTGACGGTGTTTTTCGTCGACTACGGCGACACACGCTCGGTGTCTCTGGCTGAGGTGCGCCCGCTGCGACCGGAGCACGCGGCGCTAGCCGGCCAGGCGATCCGCTGCTGTTCCTCAGACGTGGGACGCTCCGGGCGAACCAACTGGTCCGAACAGGAGGTAGGTGAACAGCGGGGGCGCAGTGATCGGCTGCAGTCTGGTGCTGGATAACTGTGGATGTCAGTTATCAATGGTCAGCCGGTCACCTTAAAAGCTTGAAAGAAGGTTAGCGAGGGTTATAAGTTACGGAACGATAAATACTTATTAAAATAACCATGACATGTCAGAACAGAGGACTCGAGTTGCCTGAATTGAATATGCGAGATGAGTAACGATGGCAAGGGACGTCTTCCGTCTGACGGAGCGGCGCCTTTTCTTCCATTTGTGACAGTCCCTGTTCCGTTATAAGTGAAGCCACGGCGCGTTCCTGTCCTCAGATTGAGAGTTTCCGCGCGGCGGTGATGGAGGTGCCGTACCTGGCTCGCTCCGACGAGCTGCGGGCCGGCACCGCCATCGTCACTTTAGCCAAGGCTGAGCTGCTGGAGCCGGTGCTGGGCCAGCCGGTGGCCAGCGCCGCGCCGCCCGTAACACGACAGACGAGCGGAGACTACACCAAGAAACCTACCCCGCGCGCCGACCTGGTGAGAGAGGCCGACAGCCAGAAAATGGTGTGGGGCGCATGAATGCTGTGAATGAGTACTGAATGCTATCATCGTTCAGATTTTGAAAATTGTACTCGTGGTAGCTCGGTATTTGCTTCAAATGCGTTCGTCTATGCTGCCCGTGTAAAGGTAGCGTTGTTACTCATCTCGTTTGAACTCGACGCGACATATTTACACCATAGCATGATCCCCTGATCGTTTCTCTGCAGCTGTTGACCCGTATCTCCACCGCAGGACCACAACTGGCGAGACCGCCCGGCCGGCGCGGGCCCCACCTCGCCCCCGGCGTCCTCCAGTGACCCGTTCTCCGGCCGTATGAGGATGGACCAGCCAGAGTCGTACTCCCGCCCTCAGCGGAGCGGCGGAGGAGGCGGCGGCCCAGCCAGAGACTCCTGGGGCGGCGGGGGAGGCGGTGGTGCGGCCAGAGACTCCTGGGGCGGCGGAGGAGGCGGGGATGCCCGCGGTGGCCGTGAGAGGAGCTGGGAGGGGCACGATGACCGTGCCAGCCAGGAGCGCAGCTGGGGCGGCCACGATAACCGCGGCGACAGAGGGGCGCCGGACGGAGCCAGCGCGTTCGCGGCGGACTCGCGGCCCTCGGGAGGGGGCGGTCGGCCCGACCGCGGCGGCTCCAACTGGCCGGGCAGCGGCAGGACGCGCGGCGGACAAAATGGATCCACTGGAGACGACTGGTCCAGTGGAGGCGGAGGGGGCCGGCCCAGAGGACAGGACCGGAACGCCAGCGGCGATTCGTGGTCGTCCGGCGGCGGCCGCCCGATCCGCGGCGGCGGGGGTGATGTGGGCGGCCGTCCGGGCGGCGGGCGCCAGCCGCCCGCGCCTTCCGTCTCCATCCCCGAGCACAGCTGCCGGCTGACCCCGGCGGCTCTGCGGGCGGGCGCTGAGCTGCGCGCCGCTCCCACCTGGGTCTGCGGCCTGCACGAGTTCTACCTGCAGCCGCTGGACGGTGCCGAGCCGTTCAACACACTGATGACCGAGATGCAGACGTTCTACGGCGGCCTGCGGCGGCCTCAGGACGGTGCCGAGACGCACCCGGCCGTCGGTAAGCCGGTGGCGGCCCGGTTCACCGACGGAGCCTGGTACCGCGCCGTGGTGAGGCGGGCCGCGCCTGCCGGGCTGGACGTGTTCTTTGTGGACTACGGCAACTCGGCCACTGTCGACAAACAGCTGGTGAAGCGGCTGAAGGAGGAGTACTGCCGACTGCCCTGCCAGGCGTACAAGTAAGTCCGACAGTCTGTCATGCCTTTAATGTTGTATTGATAACGGTCTGGAGTTGCAATGTGATTTGCATAACATTATGGTTGGCTCACAAGTCAAATAAGAGATAAACGTAAAACCCGGGTATCATCAATTATGTAAGGAATCTGTCGATAACCCGTCGTGGAACTGTCAATGCTAGGATACCTCAACTAATGTTTGCTTTTACGCCGTCAGGTGTCAATTTGGAGGCGTGAAGCCGGCCGGCGGCAAATGGAAGGTCCTTTCAGAGCAAGAGCTGGCAAAGTACTTCGAGGGTGAAGTGCAGGTAAGATGCAGAGATCGGTGGCGGCCACCATAGCTCTTTGTAGTGTTTGAATTTCTCCCAAATTCTGCCTTCGACACCAATTACTGCCTAGCAATATTTCAGTTAAAAGTTAAAACCGTGGGGCATTACACAGCAAAAGCCACTGGAGAGCCATGCAACTATATTTCATCGCAGCCACTGTGTACCATCTTTCTATTACGATTGCCTACTTTCCCACGTCCGTTTCTCGCCGCATCTCCCGACTGCGCTGATGGCGGCCCGCCTGACACCCGTCTCCCTCCCCAGGTAACGTGTCTGAGCGCTGAGGGCGACCTGTCGTCAGTTGAGGTGGCACTCACCTCCTCTGGACAGCGGGCCACCGATCAGCTGGTGGCCGACGGACTGGCGGAGCGGCCGGCCGCCGCGCGACCCGTGCAACAGAGCGGTCAGTGGAGGAGGCGATACGGAGCATGGTGGTTTTGACTGTTTTGAGTATTTTGTTCATTTCGACTTCTAGAAGTTTCTAGAAGGAAAAACATTGGCTGCTCAGTGCTCAATCCATGCCGCATACCAGAGTAACCAGTACCTGACTTCCAAGCATAACATTTTACATTGTTTTTTTATGGCTTACCTGTAAGCAAACAATTACACTTAATTGTAGATTCGGAACTGCTTTCAACTGAACTGTAACTAAGCCTAACAGTACTGTATCTCGCCCTGGTTACCTGTTCCAGCTCCTCATAACATTTCTACGCCACCACACGTCTCATCCCCCCGCCCCTCTTTCCGCTGTTACGCAGGTATCGGGCCGTACCCGCCGCTGGAGCGGCCCTTCTCGGCCGGTGAGCGAGTGGAGGTGTTCGTGGCCTGCGTCCTGTCTCCGTCCCGGCTGTACGTCCAGCTCAGCGAGAACACGGCGGAGATCGAACAGATGGCCACCGACATCGAGGCGTCCACCACAGACTGCAAGGTGCGTACTTGCGTAGTGATGGTGGGGGGTGGTTGTCATGTCACGTTATTGATCGTGTCCGTCCTTTTTCGACTCGACGGCACCTGCCCCTGGCGAGCACCTTTTAATCTTCGCTCACCCCCGAGATTTCCCTCTCAAGAAGCTCAACGTCGGTTCCCGCTGACCGTTGTATTCTCGACAGGTCCCGTGTCCGGACGTGGCCCCCGAGGAGCTCTGCCTGGCGCCCTTCGAGGGTGTCTACTATCGCGGACTCATCACGGCCGTCGACGGACAGACGGCATCAGTGTTCTTTGTCGACTACGGCAACACCGAGCGCGTCAATGTGTCAGAGGTAGGTTGAGAGAGGAGCTGTAGAAGATAATATGGGGGCAGGTTGGTTGTGATAATACGATGGATGTGGGTTATTGGCTGAGCTGGTTTTGTTTGCTTGCTACGTAGTAGGTATTCGTTTGTCTCCCGGCGGCGCTGGTGTTAGCATATGATCAGCTAATAACGTGCTCAGGCTGGTCTCAGCATGCAGGCTATGGGTGTCGTTAAGTATAATGCTCCCCTTTCCCCCCAATGCGGTGCCTGACGTGACATCCCATCCCTTGCCCCATGTTTCAGCTGGTCGAGTGTCCCATGTCGCTGGTGGACCTGCCCGCTCAGGCGATTCAGTGCAGTATGACCGGACTGGTGTCAGCCGACTGCGGCGATCAGCTGGCCGCCAAGGTCGACCAAATGGTGAGTTCTCCTGACGTGGCTGCCATCAGGCTGGTGTTTCCATGGTGTAGTATTCAGTTGCTGTCGTTACTCTACCTGGCTGCTCAGCTCTTAGCTTTCAAATATCTAAGATCTGAAAGGACCTACTTACGTCCCCTGACTCTGATCGACAGATTGACCCCTGTTCACGTCTTCCCCTTTCCAGGAGCTGACGGCTCTCGTCGACCGTGTGCTGCCCGGCTCTCTAACCGTACCCCTCATTCTTCTCAGGAGCTGACAGCTCTCGTCGACCGTGTGCTGCCCGGCTCTCTGATCGTCACCCTGCTCAGCGGCAGCACCAACATCAACCTGGAGCTGGGCGGCGACGGACAGGCGCGCTCCCCCGAGCCGGCCGCTAAGAAGGCCGCTGCTCCTACCTCTGCTCCCGCTCCGGCTCCTGCTGCGGCTGCTCCAGTGGCTCCGGCTCCGGCCCAGGCGGCTCCTGCAGCTGAGGAAGCCACAGAGACTGCGGCACCGTTCACTCGCGTGACCGTCTCGTTTGCGGTGACGCCGCACGAGTTTTACGTTCAGGACGCGGCGGACGGCCCAGCGGCGCAGTTGGACGAGCTGATGGCTCAGCTGGAGACTGAGTACAGCCAGCTGGGACCCCAGGACAGGGCTGTGAAACAGGTCAGTGGTCGTGTGGGTCGGGATCGGACGTGGCGGTGGCGCTCAGTGAAAAGCGGGATGTATGGTAAATTGGTGTTCTTTTTGTTGACAAAATGACGATAAACTCAATAAAATTTCAACTGCTTTTTTAAAGATTTGGACTGAAGCTTACGAGGGATGGAAAACATCTTCTGTTGTAAGGTGATAAATGCTTCGCAACCCGGCTTTAAATATCGCGGTAAATACTCAGTCGATATCACGCCTGGGTAGGACATGCCGCTGTGTGTCCCTGTCAGACCTCTGACTCCCGCACCCATCCCCCACGTGCAGACCGCTGACCCGCCCCCATCCATCCGCCAGGCACAGACCGCCGACGCCCTCTCCCCCCCCCCCCCCATCCATCCCCATGTGCAAACTGCTGACGTCCCGCCTCCATCCCCCAGGTGCAGACCGGTGATCTGGTGGCGGCGCCGTTTGCCGATGACGGCGTGTTCTACCGCGCCCGTCTGCTGACAGCCGAGCCCGGCGCCGCCGACTGCCAGCTGCACTTCATCGACTACGGCAACTGCCAGCTGACGCCCCGCGCCCAGCTGAAGCTGCTGACGCCCGGCCTGCTGGCTCCGGCGCCGCTGGCGCAGCGCTGCCGCCTGCCGGAGCGGCCCGCCGCCGGGCAGTGGACGGACGAGGACACGGAGCTGTTCGAGCAGCTGGCCGGTACCCTGGAGAAGGCGCTGGCGCTCCGCAGGGAGGCGGGCGGTGCTGAGGACGTCTGGACGGTGCGGCTGCTGGACGGAGATACAGACGTGGGACGGGAGCTGGTGAAGGCCGGACGGGCCCTGCCGCCCGGGCAGGAGCCTCCCGCGGCTGTGGCGGAGAAGGTGACGACTGAGGCGGCTCCCGTGCAGGAGACCGCCGCCCAGAGCTCCGCCCAGCCGGCCGGCCCGGTGGGCGCGGCCCGACTCAAGAACGGCCAGCTGCTGGAGGCGGTCGTGGTGTTCGCACTCAGTCCGACCGACTTCTGGGTGCAGCTGAGCGCAGACACCGCCACTCTGGACGACCTGATGGCGCGCCTGGAGGCAGCTCAGCTGAGCTCCGCCGCCGCGCCCGCCGCCGGCCAGCTGCTGGTGGCGCGCTACGCTGAGGACGAGGCGCTATACCGCGCGCGCGTCCTCTCTGTGACCGGCGACACTGCGACTGTGCTGTTTGTTGACTACGGTAACACGGAGTCGGTGCCAGCGGCCGAGCTGTGGTCGTGCCCGCCGGATCTGTCCGGCGTGCCGCCCCTGGCCGTGCGCTGCTCACTGCCCCTGGAGCCGCAGCCGTGGTCAGACGCCGCTGTGGACAAATTCTCGACTCTGGTCGGTGTCGGCGGCGCCGAGGAGCGTACTCTCAACATGGAGCTGGTGAAGGCCGGCGACCCGGCGCTGGTGAACCTCTTTGACGGCCAGCAGGACGTGGCGTTTGAGATGGTCGGTGCCGGGTTCGGCATGGTGCACGTCGAGGAGCGACCAGTGCTGGTGCCGGCCGCACAGAAGGCGGCCGAACAGCCCGCACCCGCCCCGCCCGCGCCCGAGCCTGCGGCCCCTGCAGCAGAGGCCGTGAAGACTGATGTCACCGAAGCGGAGAGCGAGCCGGCGGCACAGGCCGACGAGACGACCGAGTCCCAGGCGGCGCCGGTCCCGACCACCCCCGCCGGTGACCAGGCTGTGTTCGTGTCGCACGTTAACTCACCGCTCGAGTTCTATGTGCAGTCGGCCGACACCGGGCCGCTGGACGAACTTATGGAGAGGCTGGCGGGTGAGTTCCCTGCTGCGGCTCCCGTGTCGGCCGCCACTCCAGGCCTGCTAGCAGCCGCACCCTACTCAGAGGACGGAGCGCCGTACCGCGCCCGGGTGCTGGCGGTGGAGGACGGTCAGGCGCGGGTGCTGTTTGTGGACTACGGAAACTCAGAGTCTGTGGATGTGGCCGAGGTGCGGGAGCTCGGTGCCGAGCTGGCGGCGCTGCCTCCCCAGGCGCGTCCTTGCCAGCTGGCGGTGGATGTCTGTGAGGAGGGGGCCACTGAGAAGCTCCGGGAGCTGACCGAAGCGGAGGAGGAGCCGGTGACTGTCAGCGAGGTGGCCGCGGGCGCCGTCACTCGGGTCCGGCTGACGCTCTCCGCTGGGGACGCCGCTCAGCTGCTGGTGGAGGCGGGCCTGTGCCGGCCGCGCGAAGACACCCAGCTCCCGGCCGCGCCGCCGCCGCCCGCCGAGCCGCTGAGCCTACTCGTCTCGCACGTGGACTCCCCGGCGTGCTTCTTCGCGCAGCGTCTGAGTGACCTGGCGGCGCTGGACGAACTGGCCGACCAGCTGGCGGAGCTGTACGACGCCACTGAGCCCCCGCCGGCGCTCCCCGCCCCCTGCTGTGGTGACCTGTGTGTAGCCCGCTCGGCAGAGGAGGAGGGCTGGCACCGGGCGCGCGTCGTGGCCGTGTCGCCGACCGGAGACGTTCGTGTGCGGTTGTTGGACTACGGCTCGGTGGCGGCAGCGACTGAGGTACGCGCCGCGGCGCCGGCTGTGTGTCGGACGCCGGCCGTGGCTCTGCGGTGTCGGCTGCCGGCGCGGCCCGCTGACGGCGCCGACTGGGGACAGGAGGCGACGGCGGCGCTGGCCGAGCTCTGTGACGCCGCCCATTACGAGTTCGACGCGCGTCTGGTGGCGGAGGCCGATGGGGAGCCGCTGGTTGCCCTGCTCTGTCTGGAGGGTCGCAGTGTCACGCAGACCCTGCAGGAGCGTGGGGTGGCGATGGTACCAGAGTCGCTTGCCGCAGAGAGCGTACAGGTCAAGCCAGCAGAAGAAGTGACTAAAGAGAAGAAGCCAGTAGAAAGAGAGACTGAGACGAAGCCGTTTGAAGAAGCGTCTGAAAAAGAGAAGCCGGCTGAAGGAGCGTCTGAAAAAGAGAAGCCAGCTGAAGAAGCGTCTGAAAAAGAGAAGCCGGTTCAAGAAGCGCATGAAGAAGAGAAACCGACGGACAAGGAGGGGACAGATGATAGAGTTGCTGAGGAACTGGATAACCTGTCTTTGACGGAGCGGCATGAAGAGGGTGAGACTAAGGGCTCGACTGAACCCAGCTCTCAGGAACCTACCGAAACCGAGCAAGCAGAGCAGAACGCAGATGAAACAAAACAGGGTCTAGACGAGTCGAAATCACACGAGACGGGTAAATCCTCAGAAGCGACAGATTCATCGGAAGAAACACAACGTGATTTGGAAGAAGATAAGACTGATCAGAAGTCTGAAGTGACGGCCGGCGCCTCTGAGGAAAAGACAGCTGATTCTGACAAGGAGGCCGTCGCTGAGAAACCTTCCTCTTCGGACTCTGCCGCGCCGGCCGACGCTGCGGAGACCGAGGAGAGCACCTCGAAGGTCGATGAGGATACCCCGGGCAACGGCCACGTGAGCCCCGTGAACGGTGACGATGTGCCAGAGGCGGCGGCGCAGAGCGTCGGCCAAAAGGCGAGTGCTGTCGAAGAGGCGCCGGACGCCCACGAGGATGCCCAGGCGGCTGCGTAGCGGACTGATTGTTTTTCGAGGCTTTGGTGGTCCATTTCCTAGCCGCTTTTGCCAGCCGCCCGGGCAATTTGATGCGGGGCGTATTGGCCATGGTTATCCACTTTTTATCCGTTTTATTGAGCTCTTATCCGCCAGCGTCACTGGTCGTGCTATCGGCTCAGTGAGCCACGCTGCCCGCCAGATGCTTTTGCTCGTTGGAGAGGCGCTATGAACTGGTTGATCCGGGCAGGGATGCGAAGTGTTCGGTGGTGATTTGATGCTACCTTTGTCATGGCAAGTGATTGTATTTTCTGTAATAAAGGGTTAAACAGATGAGTCATCGATTCTTTTCTGTTCATGCAGTAGGCCTCCTTGAAGATCAGGCAGGGATTTCAAGCCAGTTTGAGGGCTACAGGGCACCGGCAATGGGCCTTGGTTTGGTGTCTCACTGTGCTTGGGCAACTATTTCGGGTTTACTTCGTCGTTGTTTACCGCGGCTGAAGGTTGTCACTCAGGTGTTGGCTGGAATTATAATGCGCGATCGTAGCGGTCGGCGGGTCTCTGGGGTCGCTGGGACTGGACTGCACCATTTTAGGGTCTGCTGTACCGCAGATGACGAAAGACAAGCGAGCATCAGTTTTCAGAATTATAAATGATGACCTTGCATTTGACATATGGGAAAAGCGGCTCGTTTACCTATAACATGCCTACCACGGCATTCATCAATAATTGTTAACGTTATTGAGAATGTAAGGTTATTTTTATGTGTTGTGATTTCTAAGACTTTTGGCGCGTAGTTTCTAAAAGTTGCAGTAATTTAAAGCAAGACCAATTGCTGTATTTTATTCCAAGATCAATTTGGTTCATAAATGACGCAGATAGGACAAACCAGTTGTACAATATTTTCTGAGGAATTGAATAGAAACAGACAGGACATAACTCGGAAATAACGCTCTGTGTCATTTGAAAGAAAGTGCTTTTCGTCATTTGCAAGGTAAGGTGTGATATGTCTGACTCACCTGCATTCGCCATCTGTCTGCATCAAAATTTTGTATCACCTAATCGTTGCATGTCCTGGAATCTTGATTGTGATCTGCCGCCCGCCATCTGCGTATTTGATAATTTCACAACGGGGTCTCAGTCTGTGGATCAGGGACTTTTTGTGGTCAGTTTCATCTAAGGCATTTTGAGTATGATTGAAATGGTTAAATGGTTGCGAAATTCGAATTCAGCTCAGTAGGTGGAACTATGGTCATGAGTACCCAAATATAGGAACGTTCCCATTTTTGGGAACGGAGTTCCCAAATATGGGAACGGGCGTTCCCATTTATGGGAACGGAAGGTAATTTTTCGGCCGTTCGCCCACTAAAACTCATTAGTGCATCACGTCTCAAAAAAGTGCACGCTAATTTAAGTATCTACTAAGTCTCTATAAAATTATCTTTAATCTGACCGTTGCACAAGGAAATTGACCGTCGAATGATATTTTTAATGATTTTTTGAAATGACGGAATGGTGAAAACATGGGTTATACTACATTTAACTTGCAATTTTAAGGAAAATTAAGCGTTTTTTACATTTTGAGGTCAAGTATAATAATTTTCGCCTGGTTATGAAGTTTCATACTAGCGACACCAGATGCTGACATATGCAAGCGAACACGCGGACAGTCCGGGGGTAATATTGGTGACATTTGTTGTCGGGGCGCACGACCGCATGGAACGTCAGTGATTTTACCGAACTACTGTTGTAAACTCAGTTTCAGTGGTTTAAAATTATTCAGCTGTATTTTATCATCCCAGAAAGACATATTTTATTTGGATGCTAGCTGTTTAGAGTTGTTTTATAAGGAGCGTCATGAGCGTGGTTTTTGTCTTCCGTGTTGCTAAGCGTGATCGTTTTGGGGGAATTTCTCTTATATAGGTCGCTCTGTGTGGCTTATTTATAATTTTTATGCTGATTTCGATCATTCCTCGTGCCCATCCTACCAGGCCTTTTGCCACTTACACTCATCAAGAAAGGAAAAAACTAGATTTTCATTGGGACTAGGTGTTTTGAGGGTGTAACATATTCAGCGTTCCCATTTTTGGATACTTCCTTGTGCTCGTCAACTATCGGTGATAAACAGACAGGTGCTTGACATGTCTCCGCCCTCGGCGCGGACGGTGGATATAGGTATGGAAGACCTTGTTGAACATCGCTGAGCGTTGTGAATTACGTAATCCTGCAGAGGGGGGCGTGCCCGCTGCGAGATCGACGGGAATAAAAGCGCAGAAGACCGGGCGAAACATGCGACGGTCTTGCCGGAAAGGTCATCTGATGATTGTTGCGTTGACAATAATTCGCGGCGTTGGACGTGATGCTTGTTAATGAAAAGAGCCCCTGAAAGGCGTCGGTGAAAGCGTTCCCAATTTTGGGTACGCCGTTCCCATAATAAGGAACGCTTGCAGCGCCAGTGTACGAGAGCGTTCCCAAATTTGGGCTCGTGGCCCGGATGATGGACTGCTTTAGAAATAGGGGAATGATTTGAAACTACGATGGGCCTTACAATATCAAACTCTTTCCCAACAATATTGAGACAAATATCAGGCGGTTCACGATCGTTTTATATTTTTTGGACGTCATTTAACGGTTCTTTTTCTTGTTTTAAATAATGCCTACATGGCGTTCCCATATTTGGGTTTATCGTTCCCAAACATGGGAACGATAATGCGTTCCCGAAAATGGGTACGCTTGACCATAGTTCCGCCTACTGAGCTCCAAAAACTAGTCTAGAAACATGTAAAACTCGAAAAATTGAACAGTGACGGGGTCTTGGTCTTGGAAAGTAGGTCAAAGGTCATTTGGGTCAGGGTCATACAAATTTCAGGGTAGGTGTAAAATTGATCAGTGCTAGGGGACTGAAAGTTTTGTCGCAATCAATCGCTTTTTACCCGAGTTATTCGGGAAAAACTAGGGGGTTGCATCATTCATCACCCCCCCCCCCCCATGCCGGCAAGGATAAATAATGCTGTCATATTTCCCAAATATTGCTTGTGATTTTAGAAAATTGCAACCATACTATGCTCCAGCCCACTGCCTCATGCCTGCCTCCAAATCTCATATCTGGCCCACACCCAAAACAGGTTGCTAACCTGTGTAGGTATGTGATCCACAGGGTGATTAGGATCACAATAAGACAAAAATTCAGAACTAAATGCTGTCTATTTGTATTATTATCATTCTTCAGTTAATAATTGTGGTGAACTATATCTCCTTTAACTGTTATTTGCATTCATAAACATCACATCACAATACTGAAGGATTTGAACTTGGAAGTGGTAGGATACCTACCAGAGTCAAACTGACCGCACACTAGCTGTAGCTGGTCATTTTGGAAGTTTAACTTGCACAATTAAAAGATGTGCTCATGGAATGTTGTTCAATGCTTGGTAAAAAAATACTAGCTTTTTGGCAACACTTTCATTCAAGACAAACTCACCATTCACGAGTACAGGCCTGAGGCTAGTGTGCGGTCGGCTCATGGTTGCGTCCCGTGTTTCAGGAATAAGGAGTGGTGTCTCTAGTTCTGGGCTCTCCACCATCTGTACTGCATCTTGGAGACAAGCCATTCTCGCCTCTCCCTCCTTGCCATGCGCTCCAACGCCAAGGACATGGCTGCCGTGGCCGAGGGACGTGCTGACTTGGAGGGCCGGCTCAGCCACAAACCGCCCCGCTCCGGTCTGCGCGAAGAGCGGACGCGCGAGCGCTGGTTCAAACTGCGCCACAACCTGCTGTTCTACTACCGTCTAAACGAGTACGGCGGCGTGTCGGCCGACGGCCCGGCCGGCCTGTTTGTGCTGGAGAATGTGCACGTGCAGCCAGAGCCGTTTGCAGAGGGCATGTCGTTCTGCTTCAGCCTGACGTTCGACAGCGACCGCGAGCGACGCCACCTGATGGCCTGCGTGAGCGCCGCCGCCGCCGACCAGTGGGTGGCCGCGCTGCGAGCCGCCTCATACGAGAGCAGACGCAAACAGCTCAAGGAGCTGCGCAGCAAGCTGCTCAACCTGACCGGGCGCGACCCGCTGCGGCCGTTCCCGGGCGCGCGCGCGCTCAAGAATGTGACCAGTGTGGAGGAGGATCGTAGCGGGGGCCGGCCGCGCAGCTCCTGGGCCAGCGGGAAGGTCAGCGCGCGAGACGCCACGTTCCGCAGTCATCTGATACCGAACGGCGGCGCGCAGACCAGCAGCCTACTGGACTGAGTCTGTCGGCCGGCCGGTGGGCATGCCGCGAGGAGTGCGCTGGGCTGCGGACGATTGGGTGCGCGTGCTCAGTGGATGTGACAGCTGACTGTGGAGTGAGGCCGAACGCTGGCTGCTTAGATCCGTGCGGGGCTACAAATGACGGCGCATCTCCGTGATCAGTGGCATGGCAGCTACGCTGTGATCCTACAAATGTTGTTCAGCGCTCTTGCCACTCCGTAATATTCATAATGTGAGGCTTCTATTTAGCAGATCTGCGTTATGGACGATCTGCAAAGGCGTTATTTATTTGCTGCATCTTCAATGTTTTCGAGGCAATCAAACTGGTACTCTTAATGGACTGGGTGTGAGACGTGAGTGATCTGCGCCTGGATCTGTTGTCTTATGTTATTATATCTCACTTGTTAATGTTATGCAATCAATAGTGTAATTTACGATCATCACGGCACGACAAACTACTGGTTTACATGATGGTTGCACTAGTGTGTTAAAGGAAGCCGAGTGCAAAAGTGCTTGTAGCTGATAATGCTTGTCGCGAAAAATATTGATGCTGCGTTTTAGGATTGACGTTTGCAATAGCCATAAGCCGCAAGCGAACATTTACGTTAGGGCGTTTCCTTGTGTTACGTTCTTTTGTTCGGACATCTTGAAATGGACCTTGAAGCCATAAGCTGCATGTCCTGGCTCGCTCATTTTAACCGTATGCATGCTGAAAGTGAGTGTTGTGCCTGGTCGAGTTCAACATAATTTATCCATCAATGTGCCATTCTGGTACAAAGGCGCCGGCAGGGTGACAACTACGCTACCTGCATACATGCGCCCAAGTAAGGGGCGAACGGGGGCGTTCTCAATATGACGTCTCGGCTGTTGAACTATTATATTTGCCATCCGTTCGATTCTGGTGCGTGTAACAGTTGTCCGGCGGAGAAGGGCTACGTTTAGATGAGATTTGAATTGCAATTATTTATTTGGTTGATTATAGCCGGAAGCCCCATAATACTGTCTCGTGTTGTCAAGAGGAAAGTATCTGTATCTACCCGTTGTCTGTAAAGATGCATTTAGAAATGTTACGGGGAATATATATTTATGGTTCAATTGCAAACTGTTTTGCCTGTTGCAGGGTTTGTTTATGACCTCGCTAGTGATGCACAAACGGGAGCGTGTTTTGCTTGCTCGAACGAATCTAGGCGTAATTGAATGGCGTACGTCATTGAATAACTATCGCTGCCCGCTGGATGCTGAAGATGTCCACTATCTGTTCACGGGTGACCTCATCACAGACACCCATCTCACATGCTCGTTAATGCTTTGCACTTAACGCTCAAACTTCTGCAAAGCCCACAGCAGGCAGAGCCTCTCAATCTTGGTTTCTATTGTTGTTTGTAATAGGTATTGTCTGCCTGTCAGTGCCCAGTGTCCGACACGCCGCCCGTCAGCTGGGTGGCAGCCTGTCGCACCCCCTCCGTCCCACAGACTCGTGTCGCAGCCGCAGTCGATGCTGTTCGCCGCCCGCCGCCTCTGTCCGCCGCTGCTCCTCGCCGGGGCCTCCAAGATGGCCGCGCCCAGACCCAGCTCCAACATGGCCGCCTTCAGGGAGACACTGGCCTCGGCCAAACATGTGGTGGTGCTCACAGGTGCGTACTGCGTACGCCTCTAATCTCTGCCCAAAAGATGCTGTATGTAGGCATAGGCGGCGGAACGGGGAGGGCACCGGGGCACCGTGCCCCCCTTTGATTTTGGCATTTTAACATTAGCCCAATGGGCGTTGCATGAAGAATGGGACCAAAAGTCGGCAGTGCCCCCCACCCCCCCTTAGGGCCCTCATAGGTGTTTTAGTCGGCAGTGCCCCCATAGGCCCAGAAGGTGTTTCGCCGCTGCTGGCTGTAGGTTTTACCAGAGTACCTATAGTAACTACCTTTGTGATCGTTATACATCTTGTGATACAGCACTGTTTTCATCTTGCCATTTATCACCTCAGATACCTCTGTCTACTCGATTCCCCCTAAGTGACCTCTGGTGACCTCCAGGTGACCTCTGGTGACCTCCCGCTGACCGCGTCTTCAGGCGCGGGCGTGTCGGCAGAGTCCGGCGTGCCCACGTTCCGCGGCGCTGGTGGCTGGTGGCGGCGGTACCAGGCGCAGAACCTGGCCACGCCGGGCGCGTTCCGCGAGCAGCCCTCGCTCGTCTGGGAATTCTACCACTACCGGCGCCACAACATGGCCTCCAAGCAGCCCAACAAGGTAGGCACAGCGGCTCAGGATTCTGAACTGGTTCCGGAGCTCCATATTATCGCACCTTGCTTTGTAACATGCATTCAAAACATCAAAATGCGTTAGTAGCAGAATGACTTCCCCAATGACTTCCCCAAGAATGGCCGTGTTGATCTTTTCCGACATTCTGCGACCTTTGAGCTCACAGAAAGTCGCGAAGTATGCGATACAAACCCAATTACATTCCTCGCTAACTTCCAATGAAGGGTGTGTGGCAAGATAGGTGGGCGGACGGAACTTTACCACACTTCCCGGCACGGGTCGGGGTCGTCCCTGTTACGACGGAAACACATCTGATTCACCACGCTACCGCATAACCTTTGGTCCCTGTCACAGCACGTGAGCGTGTGTAGGAGTTTCAGCATGTGTCCGGATATCCGTCTCGGCCGCCCACTCTATCGCCCGCGGCTCATCGATTCGAGTCAATGGAACTATGGCGCCTGCGTTGCCTGGTACTTCCTGCCTCATCAGGAAATCAACTGTTTGCGACATCAGTCGGACTTTGGAGTGTGCCGAAAGTCGAAGTCATTTTGTGTCCACATAAACTCAGGCGATGGTCTACCGTCACGTAATCGAATTTTGTGCCCGCCTCCCGGTGAATAATATCGACAAGATGTTCCATTGACGATAACACGTGTTAAATATGATGATACCACACGTGCACCAGCAGCGACCTCTCCCTTCATTGAGTTCGTTTGACCGTTCCCAGGCGCACGAGGCGATCGCGTCGCTACAGCAGCGTTGGACGGCGGCCGGCCGCCGGTGTCGCGTCATCACACAGAACATTGACGGTCTGCACCAGCGCGCCGGATCTCAGGACGTGCTCGAGCTGCACGGCACGCTGTTCAAAACACGCTGCACGCGCTGCCGGCATGTCGAGGAGAACAGGGATGACCCCATCTGTCCGGCGCTGGCCGGTACTGGGTAAGTGGCTTAGAGAGGGTGAGAGATACAGCGGGTGATCAATGGCTGATCTGACATCGGTTGGGTCTTATTTCTCAGGAAGAAAAAGGTTCTTTGTGGATACCTTTCCAAAGACAATGATTGCGGCACTGCTTTCATTAGGTTCTCACTTCTCAGCTTCTGTTCTGTTCTTCTGCAATTCACGCTGCTTGTGAGAGTTAGAGTCTGAATTATCGCATCAATAAGCGTGAATGCCCGCACTTCTCAGCTAGTACACACCTGCGCTTTTGTTGACGTCATTTTGTCCCCGGCAGCGCGCCGGACCCGAGCACTCCGAGCGCGCACATCCCTGTGAAGGACCTGCCGCGCTGCCGTCAGCCCGGCTGCGGCGGCCTGCTGCGGCCCCACGTCGTCTGGTTCGGGGAGAACCTCGACGCAGAGGTGCTCGGTCAGGCCGGTGAGTAGGGACGGGGTGGATGAATGCTCAGGGACGGCACGGATCTGTCGTCATTTGCAATGTGTTCCTCGGTACGTTTACTATCAGCCGAATTGAAATCATTTTAGTACTTACATAAATAACCTGCCACTGATTAACTCCCCAGCTTTCATCTTATCTGTCTGTGTCACTTAGTCACCTCATTACATTTTATCGTGCCGTTTTCGGTGTAACGTGCAATGTTGCGGTATCACGCGTAATTGCCTGTCACACTATTTCGGTGCAACATTCCCGATGTTTAGTGTACTCATTCCCCGCTAGTCGTGTCTACAGAAGCCAAGCTCTGCGTATTCATAGCCCTGTATGTTCGTGTCCGCAGAAGCCGAGCTCTCATGTAGTAATCTCAATGTTTGTGTCTCCCCTGCAGAAGCTGAGCTGGAGGCGTGTGACCTGTGTCTGGTGGTGGGCACCTCGTCCGTCGTCTACCCAGCGGCCATGTTCGCGCCCAGCGTGGCAGAGCGAGGCGTGCCCGTGGCAGAGTTCAACCTGGAGCCCACGCCGAAAACCGCAGAGTTCGGGTGAGTTTGTGTGTGAGCTCGAGTAAGTGTGAGTCACGGAGATGATAATGATAATTAAACTGTTTAGAGGGATCGGCGGCGGTGTGAGTTGCGAAGTGTAACGGTCGCCTTGATTTAAGAAATTTGGAAGCGTCTTCCCAGATTGGAGCGCCTGCTACAAGCTAGGACTTGCAAAGTTTGTAGTAACTTGGTCTCACAACAGCCGCTGAAAAGGTCAATATTTTATGTATGGCTGAGAAAGTGCCCGACGGGTAGAGCCGATCGGTCGTCTTGAAGTCTCGCGGTGCCTGGAGAATCCAGTGGTGCCATCTGGCGCGACAAAACTCCTCAGACTAGACCGTATAGAATCGTGTGGTGCTGCACTACAACGGAGTGCTTCAATAGGATCTTGACGATGCACTATTTATGCAGAGAAGCTCCACTTTGTGGCGACCCCGTAACTGACGGTTTGCATCATTCACAGACCCCTTTAAACAGACCCCTTGTTTAAAGGGGTCTATGCATCATTCAATGTTTTTGACAGCGTGTTTCTACCGTTTGCAGGTTCCATTTTACGGGTCCCTGTGGCGAGATCTTGCCGGAGGCACTGGCGCCATGAGGAGACGTCGGGCTCTTATATCCTTTGAGCCTCTCTTGGGCTGGCGACATACAGCTAATGTGATAAAGCTTTGTTAGAGCTGTGTGCTTGTGTGGATCTAATTAATGGCTAGTATGATACAGCTGTACTCCATAGGTGAGCAAGATTTTGTAGAACAAGATTTTATTTTGAACTTGTATCGACTGAAACAGCGTATTTTGAAGTGTAATCGTGCAGCATTTGACGATAGCATTGCTGTGTATTTTATGTCTTTATGTTCGGCGATTGGAGCTTTATAGCGGGTATTACGGTGATGGCAGCGTGATAAATATATTGCCAGGAAGTCGGGTGCATTGTCAAACTCAATTCTAGGAACGAGATGTGTAGTAATCCTCGAAGCTTAGCCGCTATTGGTGTCTCTTTCCTATCATCCATTACATAGCGGCCTTGGTTGTTGGTCCCACCAGTCGCAGCTTCACGTAGAGCACAAACCATAAAGGATCTACAAGAACAAAATTGTGTTCATCAGCTTGAGAATCTTGCATAAGCAAATCCAAGGCTCTATATATACCAAATCCAGTAAACCATCAGCGATGGGAACGTTTGACCGTAATTCGGTTTCACGAGGAATCGGATTAAGTTGTATGGCACGAGAATTGCCTTTCCTTTACATCGCTTATGGTTATCAAATGCCAAAAATTGTGTGTTACGTAGAAGCGCTTGGGGAGTAGCTATTGTCTTATTTTGTTTGACAGGTAATTCTTCGGCCTGAATGGGAGATTTGGTGGTGTACGTACGAATTAATAATATTCCATCAAGCATCCAAAATCGCCAGAGAATATTCAGTAGCCTTGTATGATCGCATTCTGCGGCCATTGGTAGCCTCCATCTGCGCCCCTTCTGCACACCATGTCGGACAGCGACCCGGCGTCCAACTCGGACACTGCTCTGTCCAGTCTGTCGCCGCTGTCCGCCGACAGCTCGGACTCTGGACGCGTCTCTGCCAGCCCGGGACCCGCCTCGGTCAGCCCGGCAGCCACCGTCAGGTCTCCCGCCGAGGAGACCAGCGGCGCGGCGCCGGGCGGAGCCACAGACCAGCCGGCGGCGGGGACTGACAATGACGTGGCACCCACAGCAGCTGAGGGTGGAGGTGGAGCAGCTCAGGGCGGCGAGGTGACTGGAGAGGATCCGCCGGCCGCTGCCGAGCTGACTGAAGAGGCGGCTGGTGAACCGACTCCTGACCCGACCTCAGCGCCGACCCCCGGGCCGTCAGAGGCAGCTGACCCCACCGAACACACCACGGTCGGCTCCCACTCGTCCGACTCGCTGACGCCGCAGGAGGCGGCCAGCGACGACAGCTGGGACGCGCCGCTGACCGAGGCCGACCTCGACGGCGACACGCTGAGCACCGTCCGGCGCGACAGCGAGGTGCATGAGCTGCTCGAGCCGCTCGACTCGGACATCGTGGACCCGGCCGACGGACTCAAGGTGCTCGACGACCTCTTCACCAGCGGCAAAATCAACGAGGTGCAGTATAAGGACCTGCAGCGAAAGCACAAATATCTACAGTCCATGTTCTGGTCGTGCATTCAGAACCGCGCTGGCCTGCGGGAGGACATTCTGGAGACGAACGCGTTCCTCAAGGAGCTGAAGGCGAAGGCGAGAGAGGAGGCAGGCAATGAGCAACGTGATAACGCCGACGACATCTCTGACATTCAGACTATGGCCGATCTCGAGGGGAAGAACGTCGACGAGCTGAAACGGTATCTGGCCTCTTTCACTCAGCAGCGTAAGACGCTGGAGAACTCTATCTACCAGATCCAGTTCAAGACACGTCACATGGAGGAAGAACGACAAAACCTCCAAGAGAGAGTCGATTCCACGAACCTGTCCAGTTCCAAGATCTACCTAAACAGCCCGGCCATGCTGGAGAAGGACATCCGAGAGCTAGGGGTGGAGATACGCGTTCGCAAACAGGAAGTACGCAACCTCTTGGAGGACATTAACACGCGCGAGCGGACGATCCCGCAGCGGGAGACCAAGATCGCCAAGCTGGAGGAGAAGCTGCAGGCGCTGCAGGAGGAGAAGGAGGAGCTGCTGCCCAAGATGGTGCTTGTGAGTCGCGACGCCGATCGCGAGGAGAAACACACGGCCAAACTGCGCAAACAGAGTGACTCACTCAGCCAGACCGTGTCCACCATCATCGGCCAGCTGAAGGAAACAACGGACGCCGCACAAAAGGTGGACAACGAGCGCAACGAGCTCATCAAGGTGATGGACCGCGAGTACAAGCTGCTTGACGCCAAGAGCAAGGAGTGCACGGCGCTGACGCGCGACACGGAGCGGTGCCGGGAGCGGGCGGCCCTTCTGATGGAGGAGAAGAACCGCACCGACAGCCGGCTGGCCATGCTCGCTTCAGAGATGCGTCAGCAGAACAACGCGCTCCGCGACGCACACAAAGCCGTGGAGCGGGTGGAGCGAGACCTGCGCAGCGCAGAGGAGTCGCTGCGCGTGCAGCGCTCTCAGATGGGCGTCGAGCGCAGTGAGGTGGAGAAGCTGCAGCGCGAGATGCAGCTGCAGACGCGCGCCACCGCCGAGATACCCGCCCAGAGGTACGCCCTGCAGCGTGATGTGGACGCAGCGCACCGCGAGACGAACGTCCTCAACTCGCTGACACTTAACGAGCAGCAGAGCATCGACAAACTGGCCAAGGAGCGCGGCACGCTACTGCGCACTCAGGAGACGCTCACCAAGACACTGGAGGCGCTCGGCCGCGAATATAACAACCTGATTCGCCAGCGTGACACGAACGCGCGCGTCTTCAGAAAGCTGAGCGGCGAGGTGGAACGAAACGAGGACGAGATGCGCAACCGGTTCACGGTGGTGGCCAAGTTCCGCAAAAAGTGCGAGGAAACTGAGAAACAGACCAAACAGCTGGCGGAGCGCTACGAGCTGGCCAAGAAAGAACGAGATGAGATGTCGGCACAGCTGAATATCTCGTTGACCAACTGCGACGAGTTGATGAAGAAGACAGAGATCCTGCGGTCGCAGCAGGACACGATGCTGAGCAGGAAGCTGGAGCTGGAGCGACAGCATGACGTAACACGCCAGACCACCATCAAGACAATCCTGGACAAGACGATGATCCAGAGCACGATGAACCAGGAGAAGGACGCGATGAAGGAGCTGGAGGCGCACGCCGACCAGCTGGACATGATGATCGGCTGCTGTCAGATGTCGCTCAACACCATCAAAGAGAGCATCATGTCCGACCTGGAGGAGTACAAACGCCAGGTGGTGGACCGCAACGAGCGAGGTCTGCTGCTCGTCGAGCGCGACGAGGAGGTGTGCGCCTTCCAGGAGAAGATCGCGCTCCAGCAGCTGTTCGTGGAGCGAGGTTACGCGCGGCTCGATACGGCCGAAAAAGACATGGTCGAGCTGAACAAGATCATCCGCACCGAGCGGCACCACATCCAGTGTCTGGGTGCGCAGGAGCGCGAGATGCAGGCCATGAGCGCCCAGCTGGCCGACACGCGCTGTCAGCTGCGTCAGCTCAACTCGCGCACCGTGACGGCCACGGCGCACCTGGAGACGCCGGCGCGCCGGGACTGCCGCCTGCTGCCGGCGCCGGCCGCCGGCGACGGCGACGTGCCGCGCCACCTGCGGCGCATCGAGCTGCAGCTGTACGGCGCCGAGCTGCGCCTGCTCGAGAGACAGATGATCGCCGCCCAGGTGGGCCGGCTCGCCGACCGCGCCCGCCACGAGATCGACACCAACCGCGCCGACTGCGAGCGGATGGTGAAGCGGGCCAGCGCCGGCCGGCGCGCCGTCAAGGCCAACAGTCGCCGGCTGATGGCCAGCGCCGCCGAGGCCAGCGTCGCCAAGACGGAGGCGCGCCGGCTGTGTGAGGAGCGCGCCCGACTGGAGGCGCAGCTGGAGGAAGCGCGCCGCAGGGTGGCCGCCGGTCTGCCACCTGAGCAGGCGCTCGGAGGGAGGCAGGCGCCCGGCGTCCGGCCACCGCCGACGGCCCAGCCACTGCCGCCGCCGCCGGGACCGACTCCGCGGCCCACCCAGTACCTGCCCGAGGCAGAGAGCAGCCTGCCGCTGCCGCGACCGTACGGAGCCTTCAGTCCGTTCAAACCGCAGGCCAAGGGCAGCAGCTTCATGAGAATGCAGAAGATGGCAAGTCGCGGACAGAAACAGTAGCCGAGCTCGGAGGGGGCAAATGCTAGAAGGTAGAATACCTGGCATGGTGGGCTGCAGGCTCAGTGGTGCTCATACGAGTAGAACATACGAGCGGGGTGGGAATATCAACAGAGCACGCGGTACCGAGAAGACAGGAAATGCAAAGGAGACGACCGCATTGTTTGAGGTCATGAGTACCTAAAGTCAGCATGATTGGGGTAAAATATCAGCCTCGCCACATCTTCAGCTCCATATTGCGTTTGTGTTCCCTGGTCAGAGCCCAGGATATGGCATGTCAATGGGCAGGTAAAAGAAAAGCGCGTACAAGCATAAAGATCACACGCAACACACAACCGGACTCTTTCTTGCGTTACCTAACAACTGAATTCGTCATGGTCTACGCCAGCATGCGGACTCCGTACCTTCCCACGTGACGTCACTGGCAATTGCCAAACGCCCCATCTGTTTGGCAACAGAGGACTTTGCCTCGGGGGCTGCACTCGGCGGACTTTGGCAGCCGCTCGGCCGGCCGACTGTTGTCGGAACTCTGTGATCTGTCGGCGGCCGTGACACATGTTTTACCGACAGCCGGGCCCAGTCCCCGGCATGAAACCGGCACCAGCCGCGTGGGAGGATTCCATCTCCGTGACGCAGACCGCAGCTGGCTCGAGACTCGGGATCCGGGTGGGCGTCTCGCGTGGTGACGAAGTCAAAGGAGTGTGGTTGGCAACAGGAGCCCGGAACGGACGCTAAGTCTTGCGTCAATTCCGCATCATACATGTGACAGTTGATAAGTCACAATATTTTTTTTATAAATTTGGTCCGAACCTTTTGATTGGAAGGATTCACAAGGACAGAGCTCCCGCTAAGCGAAGCTTGTTGCGCTGATCCTGCCCTCCACCCTCCGATCGCGCAATTCCGGTTCTATGGCAGAATTTAGAGTCCAAAGTTTAACGTGCGCACTGCGCACATAGCCGCGCACGGCCGATCCCCTCACTGACTTCGCCTGGCTACGGTCCGCCACCAACCGCAACCACACCTGTCAGGAGGCCCATAAACGCCAAGCGCCCGTCGCGCTTCGAACCCGGACTGTTGTAACCGGGAACGTGTGCTCTCACCACGCGGAGTCCAACGCTCTACCGACTGAGCTACGGGACCGGCAAACAGAAAGGCTACGCCGCCAGTCATATATAGAAACAGAATGGACCATTTCCATAGAAGTTTCGATATGTATGAGCAGCTTGTCTTTTTCCTCTGAAGTTTGTGAGCGCCTCATTGCAGGGCGCCAAGTCTTGCGTCAATTCCGCATCATACCTGCGACAGTTGATAAGTCACAATGGTAGGTATATTTAGAAACAGGATGGGACATTTCCATCGAAGTTTCGATATGTATGAGCAGCTTGTCCTTGTTCCTCTGAAGCTTATGAGCGCCTCAGTTCAATGAATTCGCCGTCGCGCTGTGGTGTTTTAGCACCTGCATCCGGCGCTGGGCGGCTGCCGATGGACCGGGCCTGTTATCGGGGTCAGCGCCACGAGGGCGGGGCGTGCTCTTGTCGCCCCAGGGGAGCTGGCGGCGGGTCAGCGGCGCTCGCCAGTCAGCCGCCGGTCCGGCCCCGAGGCGGTGTCATGGTGCCCCCGAGTGGCTCCCCGGCCCGCGCGCCGCTGGCGGTGGCGGCGATCGCAGTGGCAGCGGTCGCCGTCCGCGCCGCGCCCTGCCCCTACGACGCCTCGGCCGACCTCAACTCGCTGCTGGACCGGGTAGGTCGGTATTTTTTGCATCACCCATATTCACACTTTGTGGGAATGTCAGATTTGGTCGGGTTCCCTGAAACGGAAAAAAAACGCTGGAGCTCAGCTGTGCGTGTTTATGCAGTTATGTCTACAGAAACATTACCACGTCGCTCCTTATTTTCCATGATCAATTATACAAAGCAGATATACGATGACCAAGTGTATCAGTGCCAATGACGAAGTGAACACTGAGCACCGCAAGATGACCGATGCCGCCTCGTGCCGTCGTTGCAGTCGCAAGTGCTCTGGAGTGAATCTGAAGAACGGGGCGCTGGCTACATCTATCCCATTCCCACCTACGCTCGATGTGACCGTAAGTTACCACAGGAATATGGCGAAAAAAGCGACATCATCGACGGAGCAGTTATTGAAAAGCGAATACAAACAGTTTGCGCACTAAAATATACAAGCGAATACACTTAACTTATAATTATTGTCGTTATGAGACACCATTCTCAATGTAAGCCATTGATCTCGCACATGCACATTACACAATGCACATGCGCATGCTAACACTGCAGCCCTTTCTTTGCAGCGTTCTACGAGGGAGACATCTTTCTAGATGGGGTGAGTGATAATCAAACACACACAACTCAGTTGCATCCGTGCTAACCTTTCACAATCATTTGATGCTACATTTTTAAACGCACAATGCCCTGGGAGGTGATCGTTCAAGAGTGATCAGAGGGAAACGAGGGGGGAGGGGGGGGGGGGCAAGGGACGACACTGACTTCAGTACGACAGCTGGCAGTCAACACTCACATCCCGTATTCCCCCTTTTTTCTCCGTACAGATGGAGCCGTGGGCGGACCCGGAGCGCGGGCCGGGCCCCATGGAGCCGGCAGTCCAGCTGTGGCCCGACGGAGTCGTCTACTACACCACGTCTGTGTACGATAGTAACGGTACGAGCAGACTCTGCAGGAATAATGACAATGTCGAGTGTCCACTGTAACCCAGTGGGTCCGCAGAACTAAAAATATTCATAGGAATAAAAATTGACCGAATAATGGTCCCAAGTCCCCATCGAAGATATTCACCTATGCTTGCTGTGGTAGACAGTATTCCGTTCCTGCTCCGCTCAGAGGCAATGTAGCCACCAAATGCACATACAAGCGACACCATACTACCCGGCGACCGGCCTAGAGGCCGGCTACCTCTGAAATCACAACAGCTGACCCCTCTCTTCACAGTGCTACTCATTCTCAACATCTCCATCGCTGATATAGAATCGCGCACGGCCACAGCGGCCGGACCGTGCATCCGGTTCGAGCCCTGGTCTCCGGGGCTCTCCGAGGACTTCCTCTTCATCACCGACCAGCTCACCAACTCGTGCTGCTTCAGCAGCATCGGCAGGCGCGGCGGCAACCAGAGCCTCAACATCGGCATCAAAGGCAACAACGTCGGAAACGCCAAACACCTGCTCATGCACGCTCTAGGTACGGGCGGATGCGAGGGGACTACTGAACACTACATTAAATGAGATCGGTATTACCGAAGCCGAATAACAGAGAAATGGTGTAGATTTTCATAATTATGTACGAGTGATTACTGAACCCCTTGTTTGTTTGTTTATTGGGGCTTTAGGGCGCGTTACCGAACCCCAACCTCTATGACTTTGTCCAGGTTTTTGGCACGAGCACAGCCGACCAGGGCGAGACGCGGACATCGAGGTCCTGTGGGATAACGTGCAGGAGGGCCTGGAATGTTTCTTCGACGAATACCGGTGAGCGGCAATAAAACTTTGTTCATGGTATATGCCAGAATCGAGTCATCAGGATACTGCAGCGCATCAGTGGACTTCATATCAATGTCAGGTCCATTCTTTGCCAACTACATAGCCGTTCGTGCTAAAGTTTGCATGCAGGTTCCCGAATGCATGCAAAAGTATCATTGCGATAAATATATTCCCGAAACTCACTTCTATTTCTCGCTCTCCCAGAAACGAGACGGAGTTTGTGCAGACGGACCCGTACGACCTGACCAGCGTGACACACATATCGCTCAACACGTGGGCCCGGGAGCGCGGTCAGGACACGCTGCGGCCGCGCTCCCCCACCAACGAAACAGGTCAGTGAGGGAGCTGGGGTAAAGGTACGGGTCAGGGTGGGGCGTGGGACAAAGTTTGGAACAAAGAGAACGGGTATCAGTTGTGACACGAGCATCAAATGTCTTTGCTTTTACATATGAGTTCACGGATAGCCAAGGACAAGGGCTTCCGATTTGGCTTTTAGCCGGTCTATTGTCTCGAATCGCTCAGGCATAACCCGACGAAACGTGTTTGTTCCCTCACATCTTTCTCTTCAAGCTGAAGGTGCATTACGTCAAACCATTTCAGATATAGGCTTCAAACAGAGGCTATCTACCCAAGACATTCAGAGAATCCGAGCCAAGTACGGCTGTCCCGTCCCGGATGAAACCACCACTTATCAGCCAACAACAGCCGAGCCAGTGACAACAACAGAAAGAACTACCACGGTCCTTCCAACAACAGAACTGTCGACCACGGAACAGTCGACTACGGTCCTTCCAACAACGGAACGAACTACCACGGTCCTTCCAACAACGGAACAAACTACCACGGTCCTTCCAACAACGGAAGACACTACCACGGTCCTTCCAACAACGGAACGAACTACCACGGTCCTTCCAACAACGGAAAGAACTACCACGGTCCTTCCAACGACGGAAAGAACTACCACGGCCCTTTCAACAACGGAACAAACCACTACGGTCTTTCCGACGACGGAACGGCCGACTACGGTCTTTTCAACAACGGAACAAACTACTACCTATCTGCCGCCCAGAGTCGTCTGCAAGGACCAGCCAGGTAAGGGCTCATTGCGAATGGGCCTACAGCCGCATTGCACGGGACAGTACTGCACCTTTTTTTCTACACCGCCACCCATGAACAGGTGACCAGGAGTGCCCCCTCCCTCTATCCCAGCGACACACAGAACCTTACGTTAACACCAGTGAACTTAAAATGATATGACCCCAAATCGGTGATAGTGATATGATAAAATGATATAATGAATGACCTTTTTTCTTCAGTTTGAAAAGTTGGAGTTTAACCTGAAATGATGCACTTCAATTGGAGAAAGATGCAATTCAAATTGAATAACATCTTTTTCAAATTGAACTCCAACTTTTTCAAGTTGAAGGGGAAAAGGTGTAGTAATGTAAGAAATCAAGTTGTAGCAGCGATGCACTGAAGAAATGCGGTCAAAGATTATCAAGGTGAAACTCGATAGAGGTCCAATTACGACATCACCAGTTTATCAGAGGTGTAACTACAATCAAACGATAATAGGCTTGCATGATCTCACCATGTACTTTCATATCTATCGCTTTATCGACCGATTTGGGCTATTAGCTGTATCGTTTCAGCGATTAACTGTATCAAACCCCGCTAGTGTCGACATTGATTACAATCACCACGAACTTTCAAAGTTCCGGGCTCGGAAAGTACCATTGAAATTATCACACACATTAGTTCATATCAGAATCTCTGAGTTTTTACACTTGACCTCGTGCCCACTGACCCTGTGACCTGTATCGTCAGACGGCCAGATGCTGGCCTATCCGGACGACTGTCACAAGTTCTACAAGTGCAGCGGCGGCCGCGACTACGTATGCTGCTGCCCGCTGCCACTAGTGTTCTCTGCTGAAGAGAGCACGTGCGACCACGAGTGGCACGTGCCGTGCGGCACGCCCGACCAGGAGTCTGAGTGTCCCCAACATCATGTACCCGACTCAGAGCAGTGCAAGTACAGCTAACGGAAACGCGCTGGCGAACTGCGCCCAAAGATACGATTTTGAAAATCCGGCAGGTCTGTCCGTCATCGACTGCCGCCGCCACCCCGACTTCGTCAGCTGACCTATGGCGGCCAGTCACGTGCTCTATCAGCCAATCACAGGCTGGTCCCGGGGTGGAAGTCTGGCCAATCAGATAATTCGCTGAGCCAGGCAAAGCGCTTATCTCTGGCGGCGCGCTTTCCTTGCGGTCTGTACATCTCTGCAGCATCGCATACGCTGGAATACTTGGAGATATTTTTCAAAAAAAAAAAACAATTTTTTTCCAGACAAGCTCTGTATGAGACTTTTTTTGTTAAAGTGTAAAAATAAATGCTTCCCTTCAGGCTTCATTTCAATAGTAATGCGTTGTCATGGCAGAGAATTGACGTCGAGGAGTAGGACCACAAATACAAAAGTGCGATCCAATAATGATATTTCGAGGCTAAGCCCAAATAACCGTTAACGCATAATAACCGTAAGCTTTTTATAAAGCCTTGCTGACCCAGTGACAAACGCAGAGCCTTTAGCGGATGGCGCATTCGAAGCTCGAGCATGTTTCCTCTTCTACTGTCAAGCGACATCTACCGTCAAGCGACCTGTTGATGTTTTCTACTCATTCCTGCGTCTAAAGAGGAAAAATCCGTTATCTGACCTGGAAGGTGCATACATTACGAGTCCCTGTTCATGTTTATTGGCTTTTCGGTCAGTGACAGCGTGTCCCATGAACGCTGAAGCCGATGACCGCTGCCCATGGCGTGAAAGACGGGGGAAAAACGCTGCGCAACAAGACCGAAATGCTCGCGTCAACGGTATTTGCTCGGAGTAGGTAGTGTGAAGATGCCTGTGGGGTCCACGCACACTACTGCCGGCACTGTTGCACAAATGTTGGAACCGTGCGGAGCTGACATAGATAAAATATTCCTGTAAGGGATGACATTTCAAGCTGTGAAATCGGGTCGCTCTGAGCTGTGCATCCTTTTGTCTGTGTGTGCGCTTGTGTGAGCGGGTGTTTTTTTTTTCTTAGGAAATAGAACGGCCATTTTTGCTTTGTTTTGGAACCGAAACTGAAATCATCTTTACCTATGTCTAATCGACGATTATTTTCTTTTACACAATAACAACAAATTATGTGGTATATATTATGGATCCTCATAAATCTAACAAAATAAGACACATCACAGTTGGCTTAGGCCTCCAAAGGATCCTTGCCAAGCCCTACAGCAGTCTGTAGGCCAAGTGCACTCCAAACAGAAATGCCATCTGTCATAGGGCAGAGTTATTCGTCAGTCCATGGGGCTCCAGCACATGGGAGGGAGCCAAAACGAGACACCCCGCGATTCCCCGACCCGAGCTCCTCTGTTCAGCCCCAGTGGTTCACTCTGCACGTGTTTGCCCCGCAGCTCCACAATCCCATAGTCCAACGTCTGATAGGGGGTCGACTGGCCACCTAGCGGCCGGATGGTCAAAGACAAGTCTGTCATACGTCGTCCAGATGGCGGTAGACGCGGCGCAGTTTACCTTTCTTGGGCCGTTTGCCCCCCTTTACCCGCCATGGTTTGGTGGTGGAGGTGGTGGAGGCGCTCTCTGATACCGGCTCGTCACTGGAATCACACACAAACGCGGCTGTTAGGATACCAGTCATGGCATTACAGACGCCAAAACTCAGCTTACCTAAGACTGAATCTGATTACGGGGCTATCCTCACCTTACCTATCGGGTTATCTTTAATCAAGTCAGCTGCGTCTTCTTCAGAGCATTTTATTCATGCTGGCATAATATGACATTCCGAGCTGCAAACGCTCACTCCACACACCAGCTCGCTTGCAAATCCCATTTAATCCCACGGAAGGCCTCACCTGACGGGGACGGCCGACGCGCGCCCGTCGACCCGCTGCACTCCCAGGTGGTCCCGGCTGTGCGCCTTGCTCTGCACCGCGCTGAAGAAGCTGCTGTCCACAGCGTCGGCTGTCGGCTTATTCGGCTGGAAAGGAAGGAAATCTGGTGAACCAGACCTGCAGCGACTGAATAGAGATCGGACGACAGCCGCGTGCATCCATACAATCACGGCCATTTCAACAACCGATTACGGCAAATCAAGGCCATCACCCAGCCCAAGCTACACTAGCTCCTCCCACTGTCGCTTCCGCAAGCTCACCTTCACCATTTTCTCCTGGGGCGGTCTCTGGCCGGCGGCGCGCTCCCGTGGCGCCTCTAGCGGCCACTTGTTGAACTGCTCCTGGTCACGGCCCGGCGGCGCTAGGCAGTACAGCAGTTTGCCGCGAACAAAGTCCTTGAGAATGACTCGCGCCGAGCGAGGGTTGTCCGGAAGGCCGCGGGCGGTCATGAAACCCCGCATGTCTGCGAACATCACACGCACAGTTCAAATCAAGTAATTGCCCGCATCTCAATTCCTAACAGCCCGCAGCTGTCTGGCACCGTAAGGGGTAACGAAGACTCAAGAAAATTGATCTAGCGTAGCAGCGTATTGCAAACCTCTTGTTCATCTCGAACCTAAATTTCGCTGTCTCTCAGACCTCGACCACCCCAAATAGCCACATTTACCCCAACTCTGCCCTCTTCCTTTAAAACTCTCACATTTCCCACACTTTGCCATCATTCGCTCACATCCGTAGGCGTTGAGCAGCTCCTCAGCCGTGGGGGGTCGGTCGGGCTGCTCCCCCTCGCGCGGCAGCGGCAGCATCAGGCCGTACGTCCTCTCGAGCACCGGGCGCGGTATCAGGTGCGCCACCAGGTTCACGGGCGGCACGTGGTCGCGCATCTGGTCGATGGGCAGCACGCCCCACACCACCATCTCGGCTTTGGTGGAGAGGAACGACGGCATCACCAGGCCCGGGCAGTCGCACAGGATCAGCTCCGAGTCAATGTGCAGCGTCTGCAACGAACAGGAGAGTAGGGTCAGTTGTAAGAAAGGCGTCATCCACGAACAATGAGAGTAGGAATGAACATAAAGTTACAATGAACCATTAAAAATAAAAATAAGCAAAATGGAAGGCCACCACATATCCTAGAATTGTGTTGCATTTAAAACATCGCATAAAGAAGCTTTGCATTGCGGACATTCGATCCCCACATCTAACTCCCTGCCGACTCCCACCCGTAATTTCCGCTCACCTGGAAATGTTTAGTCTTTCCGGGCGTGGCCGAAACGGACACCTTCTTCGCCTGTAGCAGCGCGTTGATGGTGGAGCTCTTGCCGACGTTCGGGTAGCCGACAAATCCGATGGTGGCCACCCCCTCCGTGCGCCGGCGGCCGGCGTGCACCGTCTTCAGCAGAGCGATGAGCTCCTCCCGCGGCAGGAGGCGGGGACTGGTGAACCCTCCCCCGCCGCCTCCCCCGTCATCCGTGCCGTCTCCGGTGGGCTCTGAGGCGTCCTCAGCCACATCAGTCGACTCGGACTGATCGCTGGCGGCCGGCCAGGCCGAGAGAGGCGGCGGGCCGTCCGCGCGGCCCTCACTGACACTGCCCTCCTCCCCACTGTCTGACTCTGCCTCCTCCTTCTCAGAGCTCTCACCCTCTCCCTCAGAATCCTCTGTCGGTTCCTCCGGCTCCTCTGCTATGGTGGCAGGCGGCGCGTCCGCCTCGTTCAGCGCTGAGAAGAAGGCCGCCTTGATTCCCGTCTCGTTGAAGTAATCGGCCCACGCTGCGCGCTGTTCCGCGGTCAGCAGGTCTGACTTGTTGATGAGCAGCAGGTTGTCCTTCTCCGGGTCCACCTCGCGCACGTAGCGCTCCAGGTCCTCGCAGCGGTACAGCAGCGGGTTCCGCGCGTCCAGGATCTGAACCACCACGTCACTGCCAAAGGCGGAGAGGGAAGTGTCAGAACATCAGAGGTTGTCTCAGTTGCAAATGTCATACGTCAAAAGCGAGTACAAGGGGTCTTCATCGCAAAGTATGACGTGAATGTGAGCAACGTAAGAATTTATTAACGCAATAAAAGACAAATATAATAAAAAAAGACTACGCCTATTTGTTCGAGTAGATTCCGGTTCTGGCTGAGAAAGAGATCTTATGATTATCACCATTCTTACATAACTATCCGCCAATTCCAAAGACTCATCTCCATTCGTCTACCGTGCGACACCGGCCCGACAATCCCCCCTCGCCCCGCCACCCTCACCTTCGCTCAACAACACGCCACAGCTGCCTCCAGAACTCGAGATTCCTCTCGTAGGGGGTGAGGGTGAGGTCGCGCGCCTCCTGAAGCTGCGCCAGCTGCCGACGCCACTCGAGAAAGGCCAGCTCTTCGGCAGCGTGCAGCTCGGCCGCAGACGTGGTCTCGTCCCAGGCCGGTCTGAAAGTGAGGGGAGCTCAGCATAAGTGGCTGATTCTGTAGGGGATACAGCTATGGCACGGGTCAATCGTCCCTTCCTTATCGCTGAGAGATGCTTGTCAAATACCGTCAGTCAGAATGATTGCAAACGATGTTCTGACAATCAGTAGCTGATCATATTGCTTTGTTTGAGCTATTGCTTCTGCGCAAGGGTTGCTTTTAACCTTGAATCACCAGATACATATGTATGGTTTAGCTGCTCACCGTCTGGGGATCTGCAAGAGGGCGATGTTTTCCCGCTGCAACTCTTTGATCTTGTGCAGCTCCTCCGCCGAGGGAATGCCAATCTGACCTTTCGGGTTGACGAACGTGATATTCAGTTTCTCCGCCTGAAAAAAGACACATTTATTTTTAGACATGCTGTTTGAGATGCTCTTTTATCTCGCCATGCAATTTGGGAGGTGAATCTCTAAAAAATTGTAACGTAAAAATTTGATGTTTAGTTAGCTACTTAGACTTCATCCATATTTAGATGGAACAATTGCAGACGACCATAGCCAAACAAGCCCTAGCAGCTGCCTAATTGATCCAGCATTCCCATGCCAGCTGCAGTAGTTTTGACCAGCTTACCACAAACTCGGTGCCTGCCAGCTGGGCAGTGTTGAGGAACTCGTCGATAGAGGTCTCCTCTGTCACAGAGCGCAGGTTTATCTTGTTCCAGTCATAGCCGTCACCCACCTCGGTGGTATGACGCTGAAACAAAACTGAGTCAGCAACAATAACACCAGACAAAAGCATGCTGCCAGCTGCATGACACAATTGAAATTAGACACTCTTGCCACTGCTACCGACCACAGGAAAATGCTCAACAACAGGTAACCTGGATCTGAGTGACTGCCATGGAACATAGGCAAAATCATATCACAGGTGCCAAAAATGCTTCTCCAATAAGGAGCTTGCCATGAGCTTCTGTAAGATTTTATGCAGAGGACAGGCATGAAACTCATGTTTTGAATGAGCACAAACAGAGGAAAGATTGCAAGAAAGTAACAATTATAAGGAATGGTTTTCTTATCATGCTAGTGCAGTTAACAATATTATATGATGAAGCTAGTCCAAGTTTCAATTTATTAGTAGAAAATATACAAATACTGCATCGGGTGCAGGCAATAGTAGAATTATTGCCCGATGTGACATCACTGTAACCTGAGCTGAGCCCAAGGGTGAGGACCAAAACATGATTTATTGCCCAAGTCTGAGGGCAACAATGTTTGTTGAGGTCTTTGCTCAAGGGCTACAGCGGCATCAGTGGCATCACAAAGTAACATTTTTTCTTACTGTCCCTACTCCATAAAATATTGGTTTCATAACATGCCCAGCTCCAACTTGCTGATAAGTGTCTCTAAGTATGTCACTGCTCAAAAGAAAATTGAAAAAAAAGCATTAAAGCATGTGCAGATCTGATTGCTATTGCCCATTTAAAAAATAAATTTAGTCCGATTCTTTAGAATGGAAGGATTCACAAGGACAGAGCCCCCGCTAAGTGAAGCTTGTTGCATCGGCCCTGCCCTCTTTCCTGTGGTCACTCCATTCTGGTTCTACGGCAGAATTTGGAGTCCAAAGTTTAATGTGTGCACATCGCCATGCACGGCCGGTCCCCTCACTGACTCCGCCTTGCCACGGCCTGCCACCAACCGCAACCACACCTGTCAGGAGGCCCATAACGTTAAAGGGACCCTCCCACCTTCAAAAAAGTTAATGAATTGGCATGAAAGTAATGTCCCTTGGTTCAGAAAGAGCGAAAACGAATATCTAGCAAATTTCACCGAAAAATATTCACTGGTTTTCAAGATATTAGGCTTTTACTTTTGTTTACTTTTTGGGATCTCCCCTGTTACTAGCGACTTTATTTGGAAGCAATAATTTGGCAGCCTTAAAGTGCGGCAGACGTTGCGCGCAAAGCAGCGTATACCACCACGTGTTAACGATGGTTTTAGTCTAAGATTTAAAAATCGTTAGATCTCCGCTGACGTCACAAATTCTAAGGGGGCATTCCAATGCATTAGCCCCTTAGAATCCGAAAACTGCAAGTTTGAAATTCCATATCTTCGAATTAAAGCATTTTTCGATGTTGTGAGTGCCCAAACCGGTATTTGCAGGCCATGGCCACCAATTTGGCTATCTCAACTCAAAACTAATGTTAAGGTGGGACTGTGGGAGTGTCCCTTTAAGCGTCCACCGCGCTTCAAACCCAGACTGTTATAACAGTGAACGCGTGCTCTCACCAAGCTGAGTCCAACACTCTACCGACTGACCTTTGGGACCGACGTAGCTGTCCCGTAGCTTTGTTATTGTCATAGTGTCATTAACAAAAACATGCAATCCCTCAGGCAAATAAACGTGAAAAATATGTCAAAATTATCACACATCCAGTTAACATACAAGCCTTGTAATAATGATGATAAGCTTTAGATTGACGATAAAATGAAGTTTGTACTCACAGAGGATTCGTCACCACCAACTCGCCTCTTCCGTTTTCCCTTGAATCGGTCCTTGACCAATGATTTCCCCAGATTTGGCTTCTTAGGAGGCATAGCTGACAAGTAAATAACTCTGATTTTAACCAAAACACTTGAATTTAGGATATATTTGTTGCATAAGCACTCCAAAAGGTATACAGTCCAATTCCCACAGTGTATATAGGGCCTGTTCCAGCGCCTCCAGAAACCTCCAGAAAGCTCCAGAAAGCTCTAGAATACTCCAGAGAGCGTTCCAGCGCCTCCAGAAAGCTCCAGAAAGCTCTCGCCAAAGCTCCAGAAACCTCCAGTAGCCTCCAGAGAGTTGAGAGGTCCAAATTTCTCTGGAGGCTCTGGTCTACAATTATGGTGCACATGTGACAATCACGAATGTAAACAAAGGACATTTGACTGATTATTTTACAGCTTGAATGTAAAGAAAATTACATTGCTATAATTTTATTTATCTTTTTAACTAAAATTGAAAACAAATTTTGCGTTTCAAGAGAGAACAATCGTCATTCTTTTGGTATCTATGACGCCAATCTCCAGAAATCTCCAGATTGCGTTCCAGCGCCTCCAGTAAAACCTCTGGTAGAGCCTCCAGTCAAGAATTTCTTCTGGAGGCGCTGGAACAGGCCCATAATTGTATCAATTCCACACGTGCTTGCATCCATGTCACATCGTGTTCTGCAGCTCAAAGTAATGGATGAAAGCAAAAATAAAAGTTATAGTTTCCATGGCAACTGGCTGGCATTACTTGGAATTCTTAGCAAATTTGGACAAATCAAGGCTGAAATCGTTCAAAAGATGATTGTTTATTACACAAGATACACAAAAAAATATATGGTTTGAATAATTTATGTTTTCAATAGAATTTCATCTCAGACACCTCATGCGAACGCGACTGCAAGACACACATTTTTGAACATTTCTCCTCTGGCCTATAAATGTCTTATTAGCGTCAGAACTGCAAACGTTGCTCATGTTTTGCTGGTCGATCAGCGCCACTATTTTCAAACTGTTATAAAAACTTATCACAGATTATCATCTCTCCTGCAAGTGTATGCTAGTACTATCCTTATCTCTATTTACCGCGCAAGCCGGATGGGAGTCTATTCCTTTTGCAGCTATAATAACGGTTAAGGCATTGCAACTTGACGCTGACTTTCGAGCTCAGTGATCGTTTCATCCTCGCGCTCGCCACCACCCATGTTCTCCATTCCTAATCCCGCCGTCCTCTCTAAGATTCAGCATCACGTAGCACAGCTCGAGGCGAGCAGACAGAATCAGTATAAATAAAAATGTATTGCAAAGCCTATGCACTCGCACACATACTCTGTCGTTGCCGGCACGCGGCGAGTTGCAGTGGCACCCGTCTCTAGTGGTACCGAATAAATACTCGTGGGGCGGGGGCGTGCGGCGGCCGGCAGTCCATTACCGGCCGGCCGCTAAAGCTGCGAGCGGTCCTCGCCGCGGAGATCAGCTCCTGAACCCCTCGGTCTCTTTCTCGGTGTGTTTCTGTCGGCAGTATCCGCTCTGTAGCGGCCCATCGCGGCCTCTGTCTGCGCCGGCCCGGTCCGACCTAAGCACGGTCGCCGTTATGGCCCGTCCGTCTGTCTGTGGATCGGTTCCTAGGCGGCCGTCGGGTCACATGGCCAGTGTGTCCTTGAGCAGCTTCTTGACGGCGGTGCCCACCGAGGGGTTGGTGACGCCGCTCGTCTGGTAGTCAACCTGCGGACAGAAAAACGCACGGTGAGATCAGGAAACGGAGCTTTGCGGCATATAAGACATTATTATGGTTAAAAATGTGATCGTATTATGTACCTACTTATAGTTACCGTGATATTATGCTGCTAGCCGGGTGGGATAGGCCACAATACGGAGGGCCCGGTACACTAAACCACTCCAAGCCGGTAAAACGAAAGAAAACAAATGCATATTTTTATGCTGAACGTTGATGGCGGTTGTCGCAGCCACATTGCCGTAATAAAAGCAAAACAGTGTAACGCAACAGCTCGGCACGGTAGCCATCCTATAAATAAACCCATGTTGAATCCTTCAACGCTATGATGAAATTGCGCCTCGCTGGTCGCAAAGGTCGGGCTCAGGTCCAAACCAAGCATTGGTAATGCGAGGTGCTGACGTGTCATAACATCGTAGAAGGCAAAGTCGCATATACATGTATATGCGACTTATGTATCGACCGGTGTTGCAGCGAATACCAAACAAGCAGGACATATACAAATGCTAGACGGGAGGCAAGAGCAATTTTTAACGAAAAACAAGTTCGTAATTTCCATGCAGATGTAGCACACAACGGAATTCGTCGGCATCCCAGAACACCCGCGTTTGAGTTTGAGCTATCACGGCAAATTAAAGCCAATCATTGAATTTCAATAAAACTTCATATAACCTCATATTGTTGGTAATCCCCCAATATTCATGTTCCTTCCATAGACCAAAAATACGACCTCGCAGCCCCGGAGAGCCGCCGGCACAGACCTTGAAGAGGTAGGGCTGTACGTCCGGGAAGGAGGTATCGAAGACGAGGTCGAGCTCGGCCTGCGGCGGCGTGTGCGGCAGGTACTGCTGCCGGTTCATGGCCTGCACCACGTGGCGCAGCTTCTCCGTCAGTACGTCCACCACCTTCTCCCGGAACACCTTCCGCTCTGTGGAGGAGGGAGAGGGGATGAGGGTCAGACGCTATTGTCGGAGCGCTTCACACCCAGCATGACATAAGTCGGACAGTGTCATTGCACGTTCCCCGCTCCATGCGTACATTTTACTCAGACCATTGCCGAAAACTTGACTTCGGTCTTCGGTATAATGCAATTTGCAAGTCTTTACAATGGAGAAAAGAAATCAATGGACATAAAAGATTTACCGCTGTTAGAAGTACACCAACAAACATGACACAACAGTGAAACGATTCACTTTACGATGCCGTGCATTACACGCATTTTTACTTTACGTCACACAGCATGAGCAGACATCGGCTAAACTCTACAATCAGCGTCGTATATCGACAGAGCATCTTCCGAATATCAATGCAAACAAACTCGGCGTTTCGAAACCTGTACCAAACCATACCAACGTGGTTGTTAAACGCGCCTCGCAGATATAAGCTCGCGAGATAGCGTAAATAAATACACGGAGATTTTGCCGCTGCAACAGGATGAGATATTAAGACAAAAATACGCTAAGCTTACTTCAAACCCTGGTTCAAGTTCAACTTTGCACTTCAAACATTCCGTTCAAACATGCTTAGTCAGCATGCCGTCGCAGATAAGGGCCCACAATGGCAAGTGACAAAGCGTCCTATTTGTCCCCTCTATCGCTGTTTTTCTCGATAAGAACAAACGAAACAGCAAGCGGCCCACTCCTGACAAACACGGGACATAACACGGGAAAGTCAGCTTTCAGATTTATCGACGCACTGAAAGAAAAGTCGATGTTCTACCAAGCTACATATTGTTCAACGCAATGAAGGAAGGTCGATGTTTTACCAAGCTTGAATGACGCTAAGAGTGCATGATGGTAAATGGTAATGTGTCCCATAGAACAGCTGCAGCTTGCTCCCGAGTCGTTTGTTGGATCCTATTGGTATTATATTGGTAAAATATAGGTATTCCAGCCTTTGTTATATGCAGCCCACTATCCACAGACACGAGCGGTCTAATTACGACACTTGCTAAAATGCTCGCTACAACAACGGAACTGACCTCTTTCGTTCTCCAGATCGACCGTCTCCATGCGCAGCGTCCACACCTCCCATGGCATGCACTCGGTGGCGAACGGCCACTTGGCCTTCTTCTTCTGGTAGAACTCGAGCGAGATCTGGCCCTGGTGGGGCCGCTCGGCGGCCGCCATCATGCTGCTGAACTGGGACACCTCCTGCTCCAGCACGCGCTGCATGCTCGGTGAGGAGCAGCGCACCTGCGGTCCGGCGACGGGCGTTACGACGGGATGGACTGAGGAGAACCCTGGTCTGGTACAGCTTATTCAGGCAGCTAGGGATTCAACTGATGATGATGATGCAAGGTTAATCCAAACAGAAGAGTGAAAAGGGGACTGAACATGAATTGTCATGATAATTTTAGGCTGTCCTTACAAGTAAATAAATTACACCTCAATAGTAGGTAGCTGATTCATGTTTCAGACAGCTATTTTGGCAATCAATGAAAGTAGATACTTACATGCAACTTATGTAGGTAGGTAGGCATCTTTTATATACGACTCACATGGGTGACCTCCAGAACAGGCAGGTCAACATCCTGGAAGCCGACTGAGCCGAGCGAGTACAGGTTGTGCTTGTGGCAGCTGAACTTGCCCAGCGTCCGGTGGAACAGCACTGTGCTGAACACGCTGCCCACGATGTCACTCACCATGCATGCCTCGCATGACTGTAAGGCAATGACCGGCTGTCAGCTGAGGCAGAATCTTACAGGGTAAACAGCATGGAATGGAAAAAGGAAAAAGATAAATGTTTCAAAAATGGAACATTGCTCCACATTCTAGTAATATTTATCAATATAAACAATGTGATATTAGAATCCGTTGGTGATAAGTCAGGAAATACTTATGGCTATTTTGAGTAATATAAAGGGGGAAGGAAAGTGAATGGGCCATAGCAGCCACAGGAAGAAATAGCTTGAGAAAGTTTAGGAGAATTGTTCTCCTGCATCATTCTGAGACATTACCATTAGGTACACTATGGTTTCAGACACAAATATGCAAACTTACAAATTCAAAGACTTGTGTGCGGGCATTCATTTTGTTAGGGTATAACCAGCACCCATTCAGGTTACCTGAAACAAAAAAGGGCTCTGTTAAAGAAAAAAGCAGATACTGCCATTTTTCATGCTAAGTCTTTGTTGTGCCACCCAAGTTCCATGCTGAGGCTGTAACGTGGCACTGTGCAAACATTATTCTTGGGACCAGCAGGCAGGTCCAACACTACATCAGTGAACACAGACAGCACACAGCAAGGCATTGCACAATGCATGATGCAAAAGCCCTCAGCAAATTCGCCTTTGCCTTGCGCTTATGCATCAAGCATGCACTGAGTGCAAAGCACACATTGTCCTGGTCAGTACATATGACAAAACATAAAACAACGAAACAAGACAGAAACATTGGAATGATGAATGATTGCATCACAAATCAAAATGAAAATTGAAATAACTTGAAAACAGCGTCAGCGATTGACGTAGGTGTATTGGTATGCTTTGCCACTGTACCTACTGTTCTTATTACCTACAGCCTTGCCTACAGCATTGTTTTGCTACTTTGACTTACTGCAAAACCATCAAGCATGGATACCAAAAATGTATCCGCTGAAATGAATGCCCCAACAGTATCCCTAACAACACTGATTCTCTTTTTCAATTTTTATTTGTTTGTGGCCAAGAGGCCAACAATCCGTAGGGTAAATAAAAATTATCCTGCCTCCAAGGTCAAATACGAATTGAAATACTTCTGTTCAAAAACAGATGCCATTACTATTAGAAGCTGCAATAGAGGCTGCTCTTGAAGGTTGACAGATGTCGAAAATATGAGGTCAGCAGGAATAGCGAACTGTATATGAACAGAGAGTTATGCACTTTTATTTTTACCAGCTAATATCCACAGTCATCTCAATTACGTGGCGGCGAAAGGAAGTGGACGGGAGAGGTCCTGTTGAATTTCAAAGCAAATAAGTTAAATTATATATTTAAATGGCATTCTCGGTCTTAGTGACTGGAGCCAATCGTGGTATTGGCTTGGAGCTAACGAGACGCCTGGTATCTCAATCTGGAACTGATCAAGCCAAGCATGTATTTGCCACTTGCAGAAATACCGGTGATTGTAAGGTGAGACTTTTTATAAATTGTTTTCATATTTTTCATTAATAGGGACTTCCCAGATGCTTTATTTAGGAGGGATTATGCCCCACTAATTCTGTATGAGTCAGAAAATCAACTATCCAGTAGAACTTGTAGTAGAAATATCACCAAAAATCGGGCAATGTTATGACTTCATCCATGGTTACGAGAAAGTTTGGATATTGTGTTGAACTCAGTCCAGTTTGAAGTTAAATGAATTTGATGTAACAGGTGAACAGTGGGGACTATCTAACTAAATTTGCTTTAATCTACCTATGTTTTGTTGTCTGTTGATGGTGCATTTCTTTCTTTTTCTTTACAGGATCTTGATGACATCAAGGAAAAACATGACAACCTCCATATCTTAGAGCTTGGTCAGTACCTATGATGGTAGATCAGATTGGTAAATAGGGCTATTTGATTTGTTTGGACATTTGCATTCAATGTTCAACCCAGGGCAAGGCCAGATCCAAGTTGGTCAATGTCAGTGCTTTGGTTTCCACACATGTATTAGTAGTTCATTTGAATCTGCAGCTCATTCTGAGGTAAATGATACCTTTCCTTGATTCATTTCTACTCCATACCACTGTCTACTCCATACTCTACTCACATCAAAAACACTTCAGAAATGATGTCATTTCTACTCCCTTATGCAGTTTGGTAGGTAGTCATTGATAAAAAAATTGATTTAATGTTCTCAAATGAACTCTGTGGTATTGTCACTTGTTACGCAAGATTTGACAAGCATCCATATAGCCTCATGCCTTGCTCTCACCTGGTTCTCTCACCTGGTAGGGTTCTCCTTGCCTAGCAGCCATAAGGATATGGTAGTAGACATGATGGGAACCCATGATCAAAGGACACGCCAGTTCACCAACAAACATTGCCCGTCGTCTGTCGCTGTGGTTTAACTGGATTTGATGTGTCCACTGGTAACATGTCTGTGTAGAACAATCACTGATTTCCTGATAATAAATGCTTTTAACAAGTCGTTGAAGTGAGTTGAGTGAGTTGGAACTCACTCAGCAAACTTGTACAGGTCATCATGTATCGCTCGAGACAATGCAGTTTTGAAGGTGCTCAGGCTTCCTGCGGCTACTACATTATCAGGCAGTCCGTTCCAGAGGGCTACGCTTCTGTGTGAAAAACATCGCTTGCGCACATCTGAGACCGCTCGTGTTACATGGATTTTGAAGCGATGCCCTCTAGTGCCACTATGAGGCTCATGCCCATCCTGTAGAGACTCAGAACTTGTATGGCCTCAGTTGGAAAAAAACTGAAGTATGCATATTGTGAGGGGCGAGGGCTATTGAGTTTGCTTGTACCATCAAATTTCTTTTTTTCTGCTTTAGGTATCTGGTAGGTACCATGAGATGAGAACAATTGTTCTGCACAGTTCAATATGTTGCACCTTTGGATTAATCCAAAGGTGCAACATATTGAACTGTGCAGAAGTTCACACATGGCATCATGGGTCAGGAACCTGACAGTAGGTGCCTGAAAATTAGTGCCAAAAGGTCAATTTGGCATTTAAGATCAAGTATGCTAAAAACTAACTATTTTTGATGCAATGTAAGCTAAGTATCACAGAAAAAAAATTGGGTACCATCAACTCTGTTTCATGAATGGTAGAGCCCAAATGAAGTGCCATAGTGTCTCAAGACAATAACTATTAACCAGTGCATTTCTTTTTGTGATCCTTATGACTGGTCACAACTTGTTCACCCTGTGTCAATATGAATGACAAAAAGTCATGACGTTTTCTATATATTCTGAAGAAAACGTTTCTTTTAGCTTCTCACCGCACGACACCGATATTCACGCCTTTATGGTAGGTGAAAACATCGAACTTATACTGAAGCGTCTCTCGATGGATTGTGGGCACGATGGTGACGTTTGACCGGACCTGACGTACGTACTCTACCCCCTACCACCTGACCTGACGTCCCGTATTCCTTACCACAGATGTGACCGACGAGGCGAGCTACCCGCGCCTGGTAAAACAGGTGGAACAGGTGGTCAAGGGTGACGGCCTGAACTTGCTCATCAACAATGCCGGCTTTGCCAACAACCAGCCGCTGCACGAGCTCACCTCGGAACAGATGAGGCACATGTATGACGTCAACTGCATCGCGCCAATCATGCTCACAAAGGTTAGTGAATGTAACTCAGCTGCAGCTACTGGTCATGGTTTACGGGCGATGTTAAATTAAATCATGCTTGTAGTTAGATACTGCTCCAGTTTTGTCTTTTGGAAGCTTTCTTAGGAAACCGATGATTGTTTTATGCGTATCGGTATGCAATAAGCGCGAGGAAAAAGGGCCTGGCACTGCTTTTGTGGCCTAAAGACAATGACTCTTAATGACTTTTTGGCATCCACCTGCATCCAATCTCCCGTGGCGTGCGCGCATCTGACCTCCCCGACCCCATCAGGCGTTCCTGCCGCTGCTGCGGGCGGGGTCACACGCCAACCCGGACCTGAGCGGGGAGATCATGTGCTGGAAGCGCGCCGCGGTGGTCAACATCAACTCCAGGATGGGGTCGATCGCCGACAATGGCATGGGCAAGTTCTACGCCTACCGCGCCAGCAAGGTGAGCTGCTCAGGGGGAGAGGGTGTGGGCGCTGTCGGGTTTTTATAAGACTCGTTTTTTTCAATGCATGGCCTCATGTTCAGTGCTATAGTATTGAGAAATGTTTTCGCATTCATGCATTTTTCTGGAAGCTAGTCTCAAATCTTAATCGACGCGATGTGAACAGATTGGACGTAATGGAAACGATCTGGTAAGTAGACAAACTTGATAATGATCTACACACTGGTGACAATGTACAAGGCTAGTTTCTTAGCTTGCCGCTAGTTTCATCCGCATTCGCCTGCCCGCGTAGTTGTAGCTGCTAGCGGTGTGATTGGTGTTCCGTCCGCCAGGCGGCGCAGAACGCAGTAACGCGCTCACTGGGGATCGACCTGCGACCCGAGCGTATCCTGGTGGTCAGCGTCGACCCCGGCTGGGTACAGACGCGCATGGGCGGGCCCAACGGCAAGATATCGCCGGAGGAGAGCGCGCGCCGTATCGTCAGCACCCTGTCCAAACTGGGTCCCGAGCATACGTCCACCTACATGGACAACTTGGGCGAGCCGCTTCCTTGGTGAGGTGCGCGCCGGGAGAAGAATACCCCTATTTCATATACCTCCACGGCCCCGACCCCAATGGCCGGTCCTGGTTCACTCTGAGAAGTCTGAGAGGTGCCAGTGAGCAGGGCAAATGTTAAGGTCTGAAGCTCAGGTCGGAAACATTTGTACGAAACCGATTAGTTGTGTGATGTCCTTTAGTCCGTTGTTTTATGTTACGTTAAGAAAGAATCGAAATATTTTATTCTATTGCTGAGCTTACTGGGATAGACGTGAAGCATATTTTGACTTTCTAGTATGTTTTGTGCACTGTTTTCAGAGTCTCTAATTCTATTGCCCTTCAAATATCAACGAAATCGTCTCCATGCTTTCAAACATTTCACTCATGTGTCGTACGTGAACTAAAATAAATATGTTTCGTATTAAAATTGGTATTGAAAGTATGCATCCTCCTTAGTCCTTACCCAATATTTTTCATCTTCATGTTTACTTAGAATTTGCAGCGACGGTAGGGTAATAATGTGAGTGAATTATTGGTATCAACAACGTTGGACTCCGGCATACCGCTATGCGGTAGAGTTAGACACCGGCCTCTGACTTCTAACAGCCAGGTCGATACGGTGCCTGCCAGTTGGAAGACGAGCTTTTCTAAGACTATCCACGCGTGATTGAGGTGCTTCTAGTGGGTGCTAGACTCTAGGAAATTCATTTGGGAGCCATACCGGCTATCCACCTGAACTAACAGAAATTAATATTTCCGTTGCTATCGTTTAGTCAAATCGTTAAGATGTCGGTTTCGAACGAAGTTTTTTATATGTATTTTGGCTTAACATAAATTTCAAACGTAAAAAGGATGCTACGAACTTGAAACCAAAGTCATCAGGCACCGTATGCTATCTCATGTTCGAAAAAATGTCATGAATCTTATTTTACTGCGATAAATGGTGGAAGCATCAGCCCGATGTTGCAAAGACCGAATTGATCATAGCACGTATATTACAACAGTCGGGAATGGGAATCCGGAACTGGGCAGCGCACACTGGGGGAGCGATGTTTATTAGCAGACTAATACAGACCTGAATGTTAATACCTTTCCGGTTCCTTCATTGTACCTCGCATAACGGAGTCGGTGTGATGATGCGTAAACACTGAGGAGCTCAAATGGATCGATTCACTGTCGTGCCTAAAGCCGCCGCGAAAACTCCTTAAAACTAGTCAACAACGTAAATCCTACTCGACAACAAAACTGTTTTGGCTTGATAAAAAGCCACTTAACAACATCAGCAACAGCAAACTTAACAAAGTAACAATTATTAATACAGTTATTCTAACGACCGTAACAATGCAGGGTTCACAACAGGTACAAATTATCCCAATCACTCATACATCAGTCCTTACACGCGATCGGCCACACGGTATGAGCGCCCGTTTCTTTACTGTGCGCCTCTTCCGCCCGTTCTCACGAGATTGTTCCGCTGCGAGCGATGCCTGCTCTCTGCAAGCTTTTTTCGTTGATCGTCTCGACATGGATGGAGGTGAAACACCTCTACCCGGACGGCTCGCGTGTTTGGACGGAACGGGACCTGTTAGAGGCGTTACGGACTGTCTGTCTTTCCTGGCGCGCTGGGAGCAGAAGGGTTCGGTGGCTGGTTCTCTCGGCTTTCGTCGGGGGAACTGGGAGTCATAATGAGGATTGTCAGGTACCAATGCCGACTGCCTATTTTGTGTTGGATGTTGATCTTACTGTGGGGTTCCGTCAGGTGTGAATTGTATTAGAAATTAGAATGTTTTGCAAAGGGTCGCGCTGCTGTTTTGCGTAGCGTGTTTCATCGAAGAGGGCTCTCTATTCTGGACAGTGATAGAGACTGATCAGCTAGCTGGGTTCCCTATAGTTCCATTTGTAATGAATGTTCGTAGTGATGCGATTTGGCCGTACCTTCAACTGTAAGGAAGAAGCCACACACTAACAGATCGCGCTCTCACAACACATCGCTCAATAACAATAACAATACACTGGTGATCGGGCGACACGCCTCGCCCCGGGCCGTCTCAGCGGCTAATACTCCGCCACTATCAGCGAGAGAGTGTCCAATCCACCTCAGTCCTTCACTTTGAACACCCCAGAGCTGCTGAATAGCCTCTCGCTACGTTGAGCCACCTCAGTACTGTTTCCGACGACCGCTCTCAGGCTTCCTGCTGGGGTCGGTTCGATCTCAGAGACCGAGCCAGTTGATGAACCCGCTCAGAGTCTTGCCCTGAACACGCCGCTGGATCCGTGATGTCATTCCGCCCGTCAGCCAATCAGCGAACGTCCGTGGCGCGTCGCTCCTCCGATTGGTCTCCTGTGAACGCGAACACCGAGCAACGATGTTAGTGAACACGAACAGGCTGTTATCGGTGATGCGCATGCTAGACAATGTGCTTTTAGGAATCTCTGAGCGCTTTCTGCGCAGTGCTAATGGTCCCATACAACACCTGATTCCCGGGTGTCAAATAACTTCAACTCCACAATAGCGCTAGAAAGTGGCATTAGAGCTGACAGCGTTTCACCGTTCGGTGACGCCCTGTCAGAAAAGCATCCCGTCCACTCCCCATCTTCACCTTCCCTCCACCCGCGCTAGATTCCAGCCGAACAGTGGGTGACTCGGCACTGCCGCCGTCCCTCCACTCCGGACACTCGATGTAGGAAGGAGGCCGCTCGCTGCGACACCTACCCTGACGGTGCAGCTCTGGTAGGCCCGCTCCATGTCCACATCGTTGAGTCGCAGCTGAATCATGGCCGCGAAGGCGCGCTCCAGTACGAACGGGTGCGGATACTGCTCCCGGGTCATCAGCCAGACGGCCTCTGTCGGAGAGAGGGAGGGCGGGGAGGAGTGTTATGTATTATTGGAGGGGCTTTGAGAATGGTTTATCCTCCCGAGCGAGGGTGAATGAGGTTGTCTTCACGTTCGTTGTATAATGCATGAGAACCTCTTGCCGCCACAAAGTTCCGTTTTGCTACTACGTGTTCCGGTCCGCTGGGTTGTGAACTGGTACGTCACTTCCCGTGGTTTCCACGAAGCTCATCGGTTACACGCCCTGGGGGCGTTATACAATGTCGTCGCTCCCACGACGGCAGGCCGCTCGGCCAGGTGGGTCACTGTGCTATATTGATATACAAACGCGTCCCAGTGACACCCGAGCGTGTCCTGACGCCGCCGCGTTTTCTAGCTACTCGCCGCTATTGTCCAGTTCCCAGTGAACATTAGGACGGGAATTGACGCATATCAGCCGGCGGTCGTCACGGAGCCGGCGTCACGCGTCACGGGCCGTCACGGTGTGTCCGTTTGTGGTCGTTGTGACTGACGGCGTCCTGCTTTCCGTACCCAAACAACGCTAGTTGGGCTAGTCGGAGTGGTGGTCCGGAAATGTGTGCCGTGGGGCTGAAGGCAGCTCAGGTATTCGGAAAGAGGCGTTACGTAAAAGGATTCATTCATAAAGCACCGGCACGTCCTGTAATAGAGTCCGATCATCCAAGGGTCTGATCGGAACGTGGCTGAAGCGCTCCACCCCGACACGGCTCGTGACCTTCCCTGGGTTCACGCTCCACCGCGCGGACCGGCCTGGCGGCTCTGGCTTTGGCGGGGTGGCTATCCTGTGTCGCGACAACTACAGCTGCTCCGTTGTCGCCCAGCCGGAGCCGGAGTGTGCCGCCTGTCAGCTGGAGAGCCTCTGGCTTCGGGTGAGGCCGCCTGTCGGTCCACCGTTTACCCTGGCCGCCGTGTACCGGCCTCCACGCCGGACCGCGGCGGCACTCAGCGCGGACATTGGTGCACTTGAAACTCAGTACCAACGTGTTTTATTGCAATACGAGGGACCTGTTTTTATCATGGGTGACCTCAATTGCAATATGCTTGACTCTATGACTAACGCCGGCCGAGCTCGCCTGGCTGACATGCTTGAAGCTTTTCATCTGTTTCAATTCGTCTCACAACCCACATTCTCATCAGGTTCTTTGCTCGACGTTGTGATTTCCAATGCGGGCGACGGTGTTAAGAAAATAGGAGTTTTTAGATGCGCTTTTAGTCCTCATTGTTTTGTCCGATCACTTTTAAAGTTTACGAGATGTCGTCCAAAGCCCTGTCGTGTCCCCACTCGCAAATTGAAGGATGTCGACCGTACGCGTTTGTTGCATGACTTGAACTTCGCTGACTGGTCTAGGGTTTTTAATTCCGTTCCCGTGTGTGATAAGTGGTCTCATTTTCTTTCCGTTTTAGTTCCGATCATTGACAAGCATGCTCCAATCAAATGTATTACTATCAGGAACCCGAACGCGCCACCTGTGACCCGTGCCACCCTCGACCTGATGGCACAGCGGCGGGGAGTGTTGCGTCGCGAGGGCAAATCGCCGGCCTTCCGCGATCTGGATAGGCAGGTCAGGTCAGCCATCCGTCGTGACTGCTGTGCGGGTATCGAGGAGAGTCTGCGTACTCGAGGGAGCGGCTCCCTGTACCGCAGTATCCGACCCATTCTGACAGGGAAGAGGGACGGCGCGCGCAACCTCCCCGCCGCTACACCGGACGAGATGAACGAGCATTTTGTGAGTGTGGGACCACGTGTAGCCGCTAGCCTGGCTGGCCTCGGTCCGCCGCCTGATGTCCCGTGCCGTCTGCCCCGCGTGGGTGCGTGTGGGTTTCGGGTGGCGGGCACGACCCTTGCCGGCTTGCGGGAGGTTATGTTCTCCATGAGGCGCTCCGGTGCGTGTGGGTCTGATGGCATCTGCATCCGCATCCTACTCCTCTGTTTTGACGCCATAAGTCCCATCCTTCTCCACATTATCAACACATGCCTTACCTCCTGTGACTTCCCCCAAACCTGGAAACACTCCCTGGTGTTCCCTATTTTCAAATCCGGTGATCCTGCCATGACCTCCAATTACCGTCCTATTTCCATTGTACCTGTCATGGCCAAGATTGTTGAGCGTGTGGTGCAGAGCCAGCTGCTTGCCTACATGTCTCACAATCACCTCCTATCCTCATCCCAGCACGGCTTCCGTCCTCGTCATTCCACTGAAACCGCTCTACTATCTGTCACAAACCGTATCCTTTCCAACATGGATCATGTTCATATCTCACTCCTATGTCTCCTGGACCTTAGCAAATGTTTTGATGTCATCCCACATCATCTACTCCTTTCCAAGCTAGAACTGTACAACATAGATCCCACTTGGTTTTCCGCTTACCTTTCCGGTCATTCTCAGTCAGTCTCTATCTCCAGTCCTTCCGGTCGTAGAGTGGTTTCAAAGCCCCTTCCTAACACCATGGGAGTGTTCCAGGGATCCGTCCTCGGTCCTCTCCTGTTCACCATCTTCGCTAATGACCTCAGTCTGCACGCGCCGGACGCCCATGTGATCCAGTACGCTGACGATACCCAAATCCTAATATCCGAC